GCCCCCAAGGTAAGAGAGGTGCTGGGCCCGCTAGGGGCCAACCTCCAGGTAAGAAGTTTTGTTAGGCCTAAACTTACTTTCATTTCATTTGATTTTATTTTGGTATGACTCCTCTGAACTCTGGTCTTGTCAGTGTGACTCGGGTCAGGGTGCCTGTCAGAGGTGTGGGGGGATCTGGGGGGGATACGCCCTCACAGTGATGCTCCGCTCTGTCAAGTGGTGAAAAGGATGCAGACAGCATGTCAGGGAGGAGTCGTGTGTGTCTGCGAGCAAAAGAGCAAAAAGAGAGCCTCAAATAAATAACAGAACAACATATTAGAACTGTATGTGTTTGTTGAAAAGTTTAACATGATGTACTCTTCCTTTGATATTGGTATTTGGTGTGCATTTTTTATGGTTAAAAGAGAAAAGAGAAGACAAGCTGTTTGCACAGACATTTAAGTATTATATGTAGAAAAATAAACCAAAATATTCAAGTTTCTAGAAGGAACCTCATTGCAAATATCAGTGGTATTGCACAGATTCTTTCATGAATAGAAATACTGAGACAAGTGTTGGTATTGCACAGAGTTGTTTCTATCCTGCACAGATTTGTCTGCACATAGAAAAACAATATTGCACATATTCTAGGAAAAAAAACAGAGTGTCAATATAACTCTTAGAGAGTTGAATTTAACTCTGTTTCAGGTAACATTTGCTCCCACTGGAAAATAGAGTAAAATTTACTCTGTGGCCAGTGTCAATTTTTCAGAGTTAATTCTATTCAATTCAGTGTCAAAATTAACAATGAAATGTGTGCAAATATTTAACACTGTGGTTTTATCACAGTGTTCAGAGTAATGTGATTACACTTTATAGAGCTATTTTTTTTATTCCAAATTTACTTTAAAACTGACACTCTGTGCAAGAATATTTATTTCTCTGCAGTGTTATTTTTTATGACATTTGAATGTTAAAAGGCCTGGGATAATGCAACTTGTCGACATGAACAACAACAAAATCTTGCTTTGTCCTGGTCACTTCATAGGCATGGAAATATTCTTGAAATGTTACTGTACATAAAGGCAAAGTGAGCAGCAACAGTTTCTCGTGTATTATCAGAATGAACTCAATCTGGTAAAACAGAGGCATTTCAGACTCTACTTTGCCACAAACAACCAATTGTGAGCAGTAAACCAACCCATTGTGTTTAGCCCAGTTCACTTTCATAACTTGAACACTACTGGGCACTTGAATTGCCGTGGTAATTCCAGAACCTCCTTTTGCCATCTCTAAAGACAGCATTTGAAATAAAACATGAAGTCAGAAGATTTTACACCATAAATAAGACTGGAAAGTGATCCAATTAAAAACAGTTAAAAAAAAAACACTCCACATCAGATGAAACAGCATACAGATTAGACTAAATAACAATGTCCACTACCCACTGCTTTTGCCTCTGGAGGGTCATGCATGGTGAAGTTCAGAATGACAGCATCATCAGATGTCGAGGAAGATGATGATAGAGACGCACCTGTGCATGAAAGAAAATGAACAAACCAGTTTTAAATGGAATGCTCTATCCCAACCTTTAAGTTGAATGTGAACATATATGTGAATGGCCAGTGATTACCAAGTTCTTTATTGCTCAGCAGGACTCAGAAGGTTCCAGGTGCCTCCTTCACTATCTCCTCAAAAACCTCTGCATCAACTTCTGTGTCAGACTGATCATACACCTTCATATCAAGCTGTCTGCCTTCTGGTGTGATACATTTTAGGCACATTGAAGTAACAGGAAGGAAAAGGGGAAACGATATTACAGAAATTGTTACAAAAATGTGAAAAGCCATGCAATTCCTTCTGATGAGAATCATAAGGTCAACTAGAGTATGTCCTGTGTATTCACAAAGCGCTAATGACTTGAAGCTGAAGTCACTTGGCCATTCTCATTCATTGTAACAATTATTAACTTAAGTCGTTCAGAAGGAATGTTTTCATAATGAATTAAGTGTAATTACCAAGTAAAAATTATAATATGGTTTTATCCTGATGTTCTAACCTTCTTTCATGAAAGCATCAAATGTTCGGTCAGACAGCCTATCATACTTCTGCTCCCTGCCAAACAAAACACACAGCAGCATATTCTGTTCAAATAAACAAAGCGAAAAGAAAAAAACACCAAGAAAATACTTGAACAAAGAGTTACCTATTGATGTGCTTCAGAACAGGTGTTTTTAGATCAAATAGAAACATTACTTCAACGTAAAAATGACTTAGCTGCTACAGTATCCGGTTAGCTGTTAGCAAAGATCCTTTATCAACCAGTTCTGGTCACTCATGAGTTAATTTATGCAAAATACACATTAATCATTAAATAAGGAGTGAAACTCTAAATGAAATGAAATGAAATGAAAAATACTTTATTCATCCCAGAAGGGAAATTCAATTCTGAATTTGAAAAAAAAAAATAAAAAAATCAGCATAGTCCTCTGGCGTTTGTGTTACGGTTTTGTCGAGGTTTCTGACCCACATGCAGAATAACACTCAGGAGAAATGACAGTCAGGAAAATGAGGTTTATTACAGAAACTGAAATGTGCAATGATGAGGTTGAACCAGGCCAGAACGTTGGTGTGGGTCTTGTAGATGGCTGGGGTGGCCAGGTGACAGTGGAGTGAGTGAATGGCATGAGTGTTAGTGGTTGTGAGCTGATAATCCAGGGGGCGACGGAAAAGACTTGGGTCTGACGCAGATTAGTTGTGGGGAGCACAAACATAGAGCGAGAACACAGGAAAACATCTTCAAAGAAGAAGAAACAGTCACTCAGAAGGAAACACGAGGGAAAAAAACCCAGGAGGTGGCTTGAAGTCACCACGTGGGTCAACACTCAGGCAAAGAGTGACTGATCACAGCTCCTTTTATCCACAGAGTGACGAGCCTGATGAATTGCAGGTGTGTAGAAAACACACCTGCAGGGAATGAGCCCAGCACAGCAGGAGTTCTCCAGGATGCCCTCTGGTGGACACCTGCAGGAGAACATCATCGCAGGCCAAAAACCCCATTCCCTGACAATTTGGCATAAAACAATCTAGACCAGTAGAGTTCACTGTATGGACACAGAGGTAACTTTACCCACTTCTTCAGAAAGTTTGTTCACCTAGAAGCTAACTAGCGATTATCATACTAATAAACAATAATTCAGTTGTTACAACTATGCTGGTGGCTGTAATATTATCCCAGCAACATTCAGAAGAAGTATGTAGTTAACGTGCTATGTAGGTGCATCTTAATTCAATGAAAAGATAACAAAGTTCTGACCTGTTAGCACCAGTTAGCATGTAGCTACTCGACAATGTCATCAAACGGTGGGTTCATGTTGCCAACATGTCCTCAGTTGACATCAGTGAAACTATGAAACCCTGTTTATTTGAAAAATAACCATTAAACGATATTACCAGCATGGAAATGTTAACGTTACTTACCTGAGTGTGGCGCCACACCCTCCAAGACCTTCTAAGACCGCCTGCAGACTGAGACTGTCACTCTGTAGAGCTGAATTTTTCACTGCAGAACTTTACACTGACTTTTAACTCTACCTTTAGAGTCGGTTTACTCTTCATAGAGTTGTAAATAAACTATCTAGGTTAAAATAGGTTGACTCTGACATATTGACACTCTTGTTTTTTACTGAGTACATACGTCATTAGCACATTTCCGTATCTCTCTTGTATATTCTTGTACATTTTGTTGACTTTTCTTTCGACATCATATTTTCTATATTTTTTATGTTATTTTATTTATACCCCACCCTAATATTCTGTGTTGTCTTTTTTGCTTTTGTTGACCCCCTTTGTTGAATATTCATGCTGCTGTAACAACTGAGTTTCCCTCTGGGGATTAATAAAGTCACTCTAAGTCTATTTCAACAAAATAATGTCAATAAATTCTGTAAAATAAGTGACTACACAAGTACTCACCCCCTCAATTTAACGCAGGTGCAGCCAGTTGGAGCCAGAAGTCACACAGTTAGTGAAATGGAGATCATGTGAGTGAAGTGAATGTGTCTTATGGAGCGCCAAATCTGTCATAATTAAAAATAAATGAATAAATAAGGAAATAAGCAATTAAAAATATGCGATTTTTTTTACATTTTCCTTTCATTTATCTATTTATTCATCGATTTTTATTTAAAAACAAAGTAGGTAAAAAAAAAAAATCAATGAATAAATGGATAAATGAAAGGAAAATGCTCATTTATTCATTTATTTTTAATTATGACAGGTTTGGCCCTCCATATGCGTCTCAGGTGATTGTAGTTGAAGACAACTGTATGTAAGAAGGTCCAGTCACTAGTGAATCAGTACTCCTGGATGTGACTACACCACAAGGACAAAAGAAAACTCCAAGCTACTCTGTAAAAAGTATATGATTATATCCTAAATGAGGAAGAATTTTGCTAGATTTTAGATTTTTTTTTTATTGATCAAGATAAACACAAGGATTCATTTAAGATCATGCATGTACTGAATAATATATGTGTATATATGAACAGAATGGGGTTGCAGGGTGGCACAGTTGGTAGCACTGTTGCCCCACAGCAAGAAGGTTGCCGGTTCGCGCCCTGGTGGGGGCACCGGAATCTTTCTGCGTGGAGTTTGCATGTTCTCCCCGTGCAGCGTGGGTTCCCTCCGGATTCTCCGGCTTCGTCCAGAAACATGTTGAGGTTAATTGATGATTCTAAATTGTCCGTAGGTGTGAGTGTGCTTGGTTGTCTGTCTCTAAGTGTGGCCCTGTGATAGACTGGCGACCTGTCCAGGGTGTCCCCTGCCTTCGCCCTAAGTCAGCGGGGATAGGCTCCAGCCCCCCCCGCGACCCTGGTGAGGATTAAGCGGTGTATAGATAATGGATGGATGGATGTACAGAATATAAACCAATAGAAATGCATGTTTCAAATGAAGGTATCTTTATTCAGTCATAAAAAAAAATGTTTTAGAGTATAAAAGTTACACATCTAAAAGTGTTCTTTATAAGTAATCAATGATCATATATTCATTCCGACATCTAAAGAAACACAGGATGAAGTTTCTTACAGCAAAGACAAGAGAAAAAAAAAAGATGGCAAGTGAAATGTTCTTTTTGGAATGAAACCCTTCAACCAGCCCCCCTAGCTTATAGTATCTAAGTGGCACAACCGTCTTCTTCAGGCACTTAACATTTTTATTTTAATACAGTACAGTGCATTAGAGATAAGGCAAACCCAACTAGATTAAAATCATGTCAATATCAAAAGACTGAAAAAAGGGTAAAATATCCATGTGACTCTGCAAAGCCCAATGAAGGAGACAGAAAACATTTAATCAGTTGCCACAATCATATTATTTTGAAAGAAACAAGAAACAGTGAAGTTTAAATAAGCTGATTTGAGGTCACTTCAGCTCAGTGTAAATTTAACATCCGTTTCTTGCATTCTTAAGCACTGGCAGTTAGTATATTTTTGTAAGAATGTACTTATTAGAATGTTTTACATCCTGAGATGATAGCTCTCTACTGTATGGTAAAAACAATGCTGTCAGCATGATAGAACTGAGTACACATTATAGATGTACTCTGTTTATATATTAGAAAATGATTTTAAAAGAAATAGACTTTATTAACTTTTACGATCTGTGCACTCATGTTCCTCCCTCTGCGTTCCATCTGTTGCAGACAGCTGTTAAAATCAAGAAATGAACTGTAATGTCATGTCAGACTAACTGAACATTAGAGATGTCCATAACAGAAGAAAATGCTTCCTTAGAAAGCAGACATGATCAAATGTAAAAAAAAAAATCTTAGCCACTGTGTAACAACAGTTGTCACATTTTCAAATGTACATGCTACTCTGCCACTGGCAAATGAGATGTTATCCAATGTCCTAAAAAAAGGATGAAACTCTTTAAGTACGAATGCTGTTGCCGTCATACGGTACGTTGAAGGCACCTTAAAAAAAAGGAGAAAGCTCCAGCAGCAAGAAGGCAATTGCAGGTGAGTCTGCATCTGCACCTGTTTCACCACCTTGTCAGGTGAGGTATTGTAGAGAGAGCTGTCCTCAAGTCTCTAGCAGTTAGATTCCTTTTCATCCACTGGGAAGTAGCCATCCTTAGTGGCAGGTGCTTTCTGATGGAGGCTGTCACCGTCTGCTGCAAAGATGGCCAGCAGCCTCTCCTGCTCCTGCTTGGTCTTCGGTAAGTCAGTGGAAGGAGTGGTCAAGAGAATAAGGCGCTGTGAATGAAACATTTATAAGAAAAATTATGGAAAACCTGTGATGCTGTTTTGCTATTTATTTTCAAACCAAAAATAACACACAGGACCTGTCCTCATTGGAATTTGTCTAATTAGGACTGTTGTCAACTGGAGATTATTCAAGATGTGTATTGAAATACATGACTGTAGAGATACAGATGGAGAAACAGGGACGAGAGACAGTGTATGACTGGCAACAGTGGTAAAATCAAACCAGAACGTCTAAACAACGTTTAAACAATTTTAGATATCTGCAACATTTCTCATTAAAAATCAGTGAACAACAACTTACAAATTAATAAAATTAATTTGATTTTTGACCATTTGTGGTCAATGCAGTATGCTGTAACATACAACACTGGCACACTAAAAAAAAAAAGAAGAAAAAAGATGATACAGATCAGGATTTTTGGACGAGACACCAAAACAATGAGCTCAAAGTTGTTAAAACTCTTTCAAAATAAAGCTGAGGGGACCTGCTGACTCTGATGTCTACTCTGTGTAGGTCCATCACTGCAACCTCTCCATTAACACGTAGTTAAGCGGTTGATTGTTCAAGCCTATTCAGGACTTTCATGTTGCTACACGTAGAAGGTCTTTCAGGGTCAATTGGACCCCAAGAAAGAATATGTGCAAAATATTTGTTGGTATTCATTATAAACTTTTCTACTATGTTGAATACATTTCTGATAAGTTGATGTATTGTTGGTGCCAAATGCATAACAAATGTCCCTCTTTTTATATTTAAAAAAACAAAACAAAACAAACAAAAAAAACAATACCTGTCACCTAAACCAAATGGCCTGGGGTCCAAAAGACCCCAAAAGTCCTGAAAAGGGTTAACACACACAGAAACTAATCAGAGAACTTTGACACGAACATTTCTCATCTTCTGATATGACATTTATTTACATTTGCATGTAAAAAGTGAAGGTACGTTTTTAGACTTACTTCTCTGATTGTTCCTGGGGTGTAGTACAGTTTCGCTGCCACCCAGAGAGGGATACAAAGCATGGAGGACAGAGCCAGGATCCAGCCGATCCCATTCCCCCACCATGGGTACACATATTCATTGTTGTACTTCAGAGGTGAGTATTTAATCAATGCAAAGGCGAAGGTACTCTGATAAAGAGACAAAGGATATTGTATGTTAGTGTACGGATGCATGTTGATGATGCTGCTTTCCTAACATTTGAAATACTAGTAAATACTCCAACTAAAAAGGTTTTAGTTTTACTTAACCTTAATTCCTTTTGTATTGTTTAAGATACAGAAAAAGAAAGCTTTATACAATCATCTGTGGTTGTTTGTAAATTGAAATGTATTTTTAATGTTGGACAGTAGAGGGAGCTCGTCTTACGGAAGAGATTTCTGCAAGCATGCATATACATTTTTTATTTTTAAAAAAAAAGAAAGAAAGAAATGTAAAAACCCACGAAGCATGTTGCAGGGGTGAAGAAAAGCCAGCAGTATTTGATGACAGGGCTGGGGCGATATCCAATCATATCCTCTACGTTGTCATAGAAACGATCTGCACCTGTGATCAGAGAGACGATAGTGGAGACTTCCATCAGCATCTAACGATCACCTGTGTCAAGATTCACCCTGTTTGAACAGCAGAGATCTAAAGAAAAATGACCTTAATAATCCTCACCAAAGAAACAAATCACAGCTGGGTGCCTAAATGACTTTATTTTGATATTTAGCTCAACTAGTTGGATTTCCGATAATATTGCGTGGTCCATCTGAACTTTAACAGAAACCTTAAAATGAAGATAGTTGGCTGTTGAAGTGGCTGTATGAGCAGTGAGAATAAAGCCATTTAGAAAGGCCTCATAGTCAGATGAACTCACCATAAATCCAGGCAATGCACACTGTCTCAAATACAGCCACAAAAAGCAGGCACATCCCACTGGCTGCGTAGTAGTCAAAGAGCTGGAAGACGTACATGCCTCCCTGTGGGCAAACACAGGTATGAGTTCACAATTATTTACAGCAGGAAAAACAGCTTCAAGAGAACATACATACTGTCAAACTGAGAAGCTGCATTGTTTTCCAGCCACCTAACCATCTGAAAAGTACAAAGCGCTACACTGCAAATAATTCGTTGAAAAAGGTTTTTCACAGTCGGCTGTGTCCGAATAGGATTTGTGCCAAGTGACTGGACATGAAGGAATTTTAGGGGAATCTGCTGTTTGTATGGACAGAAGGCTGCTTAGGGGGGAAGCTATAGTAAGACTGAATCAGTGCAGTTTCACTTTAAATGAGTTTGGCAGACTGCTTGTCGTCAGCCTGGTTAAAATATTCCACACGAGAACGTCTTCGCTTAAAATTTGCCCTCAAGCCATCATTGCAGTTTCACATTTATGAGTCATTTCTCCTCGTTAATGCTGGGAACTGGTAATGTGTTTGTTCAACATTACATTGTAATGGAGGTTTTGGAATGGATTACGATGTACTTACTGCGTAATCTTATTCTGTGTAAATGAAGTGAGGTCCCTGAGACTAACCTCTGTCAGCATGATGAGCCCCATGAGGAAGGATACCACAGCTACAGCCAGGATAAAGAGCTCCCTGCGGTTCTTGCGGCGGAAGGTGGAGGGATACATGTCCACCATGGCTGTCACCAGGCTCTCCACACACACAAACTAACCAGGACGGACACAAGAAGAAAATAGATGTCAGTATATGTTTGTGTTTAGATGACTGATTTAAAAAAATGGAACACAAGAAACAAACAACAAGAAAAATGATCAGAATTATGCTCATTCTTGCAGTAATCATATCATGGCTGCTGATATTGTTGGAAATATGTCTATATGACTACTGTTGGAATCATCTGGGCTCATCTCACCTGACTGTCCAGTCCCAGGAAGACGATCATAATAAAGAAGCAGCAGGCCCACAGAGGGGAAAAAGGCATCATGGTCACAGCACGGGGATAGGCTATGAAAGCCAAGCCTGGACCTGAGAATACACAGAGATACAATTAAAGTTAAAATTTTTGCTCTTTCTTTTGAATCTTTCAGATATTTTGATAATTTCTTGAAAAGTTCACATTCTGCTGGTTGTAACCAGTGCATTAGTTCATAAATACCGTTATATTTCAATCAAAAGAAGTGTTAAAAAGTGTCAGAGTCAGAGTTGATTAATCCCCTTAAGACTTACCTCTGTATAACAAAATTACATATTTAGACTTTTAAAAAAAAAAAGAAAATAACCCCTTCCTTCTTTAAAATGCCTTAAATTGAGCTCTATATCATTGCTTTTGCTAAAATGTGTAGATCTATGAGCTCCCTGCCGCTCTCTTTACTCATCCCTCCCCACTTGCTGCAGCTCAAACACACCAGCTCACCTAAGACTCTGTTCAAACACTGTAAAACTGCTGTACTCTACTGATATCAAGGTAACTCAGCCATATATGTTTGAACCAGAGGGGGATCTTGTGATTATAATGTTGATATTAATAGCTGGCTGACATTATCAAATAGTTGGTATGTGGTAGGTTTGTCATTCCTCTTGCTCATACTGCCACATCTTCTGTCCTCCTCCCATTCCCCCTGACCTGTGCATGAGCATGCATGAGCAAAAACGTGCAGAGGACACGCTGCAATAGTGTTATGCGGATTAGACTGAGGCATTTTGTTTCCCATTTATAGAGCCAGACTGTGCGAGCGTCGAATTTTTTTCCAGCGTACACACAGAGCAGACAGCTACTGAACCGTGAGGAGATATTTGCTGAATTTGGCAAAAAATGTTTTGGATTAGAACCGCTGACTCTACCTTTAAGTACACTGGCCGGTATAGAAGCCCTTTTGCACATATTGTATGTATCATCCACAAAGATAATGCAGTGGCTTGTTTTCATAAACAACAAAAGAAAAAGTACAAACCAGATTCAGCTACTTCTGAGATGGGCACATTTTGTTCATAAGACATGAAGCCCAGGATGGAGAAGATGGCAAAACCTGCAATAAAACTGGTCCCACTGTTTAGGAAACAGAGGGACAGACAATCCCTGGAAACAACACAGACAGGGGGCATGATTATTAGGATATGGTAAAAGGTTGAGAACAGCATCCATTATTATCTAGACTACAGATTAGATTCACTAATTAGGGAATATAATGATGACTATTGTGAACAGAGAGGTAGTGTTATGCAGGGGATCCTAATGTCAATTCATCTCAGTCCTCACTTGTAGCAGTTGTTGTTGTATTTGTTGTAGCTCCCCAGAGCGGTGAGGCAGCCCAAGCAGATGGCATAAGAGAAGAAGATCTGAGTTCCAGCATCCATCCATACCTTAGGAAGTAACAGAACCAAAACAGTCAAAGTGAAGAAACACATATAAAAGGATTCAAGCTCAGATAAAAACTTAAAAATGTATCTTTTGAGGAAATACTGTACATGTATTCATACAGAGTGGTCCCATCCCGCAACCATAACATCCACAGTTACAAGCTTACTACATAAAGGAGCTGTTTGGGTATTCTAAACTATATCAGCTCTTGCAGACAGAATAATTAAGGAAGGGAGTTCAAACACAACCATCAGCTGGTCACGATAGTAAATGCATAGTGTAATCATGTGCATTATTTTGGTGTGCATGACAACAACACTGATGTTTCATCCTACCAAGCTTTCTAACAAGGCATATCTCACCAGCAAATAAACACCACTAAACTGCCCTCCACCCCGGCAAAACCGTCCACTACGAGCTTGATTTAACACAGTCATGCCACAGTCGTCATATCAACAAACACAGTGTATCTATCATGGTCCCAAATCTCCTGACCCCACAGCTCAGCTTCCCACCCCGACCACCCTGACATCAGCCCCCTCCCCGGAAAAGCTGATTATCCATCTCCACCTCTAAGGCGTAAAGTGCAGCGCTCTCTGAATACTCGCTCACACTTCAAAATTCAAATTAGGTTTCTCTTTCTTCTTGCAGTTCTGGTAAAGTGCTCCCAGAGCACTGGGGCATGTTTTAGATAGCTGGCAGCCAGGACTGAGGATCTGATTGACAAGGGGTCCAACAACAGCACAAGCTCTGGACACAACATTACACAAAGACAGGTATTCCCAAGGCATCAACTCAACCGGCCTAGCTTGTCTTGGCCTGCACACTCGGGGCTTGCATTCATCCCCTGAGCCCTGGGAGAGAATGAAGGGAAGGAGGCTCTTTGAGATTTTCATGCTGGTTGCAATCTAACAACGAGGAAAGAGGAAATTGTAAAAAAGTCTCTGTGACCACTACTATTTCCATTCCAGTCTCTTCTGTTTAAAACTGCTTAAAGCAACATGTTATGTTTGTGCAGAAGCAGGAAGTAATGTGACAGTATTCATGTCCTACAATGGCCTACAATGCTGGATTTCTTTATTTCTTTTCTTTATTTTTTTTGCTTGTTTGGACACTGAAGCGTCGAGTTGAGAACACCATACTGACATTATTATTACCACTTAACTTCCTGTGGTAACATGTATGTTTACCCATCTAGCAGATGTGGAGCAACATTCACTATTTTGGTCTCTACTAACAACTAGTTGTTTTTTTAGCTCTTTAAATGCTTCACCGGTGAGTCCTCGGTTGTGTCTGTCTGATGTTTGATGCTGAGCGGATACAGTAGGATACAGTGGGATTTTAGAGCTTAGTGGTCATAGTGCAGTGGATTGACTACAGTGTAACTAATGCACAGTGTCACCAGTGACACCATCAGGGCAGTAAGAGTAAACAACAGTGAGGCTGCAGGCCGAAAACAAACCACAGTCTTTCTCTAACTAACTTTTAAACTAAACTTAACCACACTTCTGACAAAGAGGCCACAGATCAGACACACTCTGGCTGGTAATTCATTGACAGTGTATCTTTTCTGAGCAATCACCTTCAAACAAACTGCATTACAACACTTTCAAGAATACTAGCTGATCAAAAGTTGTGAAATACGCAGTTTTAGTTCCAGAAGGGAAAACAGTAAAAAGTTTTATTACTCAAAACTGCCAACATTATACTAAACCAACAGCAATTGAGCAAGTTTATAGCTACGTTCTCCACATAGTCATACTCACTTTTTCTCTATTTGTTATTATAGATCTCACTGCTGCCAGTGTCCAATTTTTGATGGGTATGAAGATAACAGCGTAGTCATTATGTGATATGTGATCGCCTTATTTCTTGTACACAGACCAGCCAACCCTCCTCTCCCCCAAAAAAACAACCATTGTGCTAAGCTGGCAGATTGTATCAGTTAATTTCTTTGACAAACAAAAACTTTAGTGAGTCGAGAAGGACAGATTGGTTTGACCTGAAGTGCTTTAGGTGACTCAGAGTTCTTAAAAAATACATTTCACAGTATGGAGCATATCATCATGAATGTATCTCAAAGCAGCACTGTTCTAGTTTGAACCTATTTGTCCGTATTAAGGCGTCAAAGAATTTCTTAAAGCATTAAAAGGCTGGTAAACAGAAATCAATTAATTTTTTTAAGGTTGTATCTGCATGAAAATTTGCATTTCTGTTCAGCAGAACTGTACATGTAAGAGCATTTTAAACCTACTTGTGGGTCAGATAGTCGTCCCAAATCAGGGTAAAGGTAGAAGTGGATTCCCCTGGAGGCTCCCGGCAGGGTCACTCCTCTGACCAGTAGGATCAGTAGCATCACATAAGGGAAGGTGGCTGTGAAGTAAACCACCTGCGGGGAAATAAAACATCACTTCATCACCTGGTATACGTGTTTTATGAAAATGCCTTAGAAATTCTAAGGTGTGACTTCTTTGGTGTGGTGAACTGCTGACTGTTTTACAAAGCTGTGCACACATTCACATTTATTTAACATCTTAAAATCTTTAGTTGTACTTAGCACTCTACATTTTCGTTTGACGAGGGTTTTAAGTTTTGCAGATGTCGATCGCTGTCAGTTCAGCAAGCACAGATTTAGTTACTCTCTAAAAAAATCAAACTACAGAGGTCTACTGAGCAGAGCAAACTAGCTTAAGAGACTTTGTATGTTATGCAGCACATTATAATTGATATTCATATTCTGTTCTAACAATGAATGTTTCTCCAAGAAGTATGGTTTCACCTTGCCGGTGGATTTGACTCCCTTCCAGATGCAGAAGTAGCAGATGACCCATGCAACGGCTAGACAGATTACCAGATCCCAGTTCAGAGAGCCAATGTGGTGAATACCTGAGGAAATTCTCAGTACTCTGTGTCTAAATTACAAACACATGCACAGGACAACCATCAGAAATGTTTTACCTCATCTTAGTAATCATTATATGCCACATTCAGTGCATTTTTCTCCAAAATAGCATTTTCTAAATAATCTCAGGAGCTAAGAAGCCAAGGGTTAACTTTTGAATAAGTTGTAAAAGTTGTAGTCCAACGGTAGTACATTTATAAAACAGGCAAAAAAACAATCTGGTATATTGTAGGAGTTTGAATGGAGTCACTTATTAAGATGGATATTTGTTGGATTTGTGCGCATGAAAGGCCATCTGAGGACACGGCCAAACAAAAAGGCACTTACTCCCAGAACTCAATGACAGGAGAGGTGGCATTCTCATGGTGATTGATGGAGCTATTCCCCCTCTGAAATGCCATACAGGAATCTTGAATGAAGGATAGACAAAAGGACATTCAATCCAGTGAAGAAATCCAAGCTTTCTCTGAGGTTTCCAAGTTACATGCAGGAAAGAGAAACAATGCCACCACTGAGGCCGAGGAGTGAAACGGTGCAGGAGCAGTCGCTCCTTTAAGCTAAAACCTAACTATAATTCAATGAAGTGATGACAGGGAACACCTCATTTTGAGGTTGTATTTCTTGTGCTGTGAGCATGCAGGCTACAGGCTAATGTAGCGATGATGCTAACAGGTTGATATTTAGCAGGTATGAAGATGATTTTTTAAAGATTTTACTAAATGTCAACCTCGTGGGGGCACTAGAGGAAAACACAGTGGATTGTCCAAGTATTACAGATTCATATTCTGTGACTTAACAAAATTTCATGTCAGTCAATCAATAGAGAAAAAATTAAATAAAGATATTTCATTGATGCTGCCATCTGTGTGTGACGGAAAATGTTCGACCTTGGTGTGCCAGTTAAATTGGGCACCTGAAACATTTGATTTATTTGGCATTTTTAATATTTAGAATCGTTTTCATCACTCAGTACTACAATAGAGTTGTGTGATTGATGCCAAATTCATTCTGAAGCATGACAATGACCCTAGAAACCCCAGTAGACAGTGTGGCCTCCAGACACCTGATGTCAACATCATAGAGTGTGGGATTACTTGAAGAGACAGAACACACTTAGACAACCTAGATCCATTGAGAAGGTGTGCTAGTTGAATACACTATACACTTTCAACAAATTTCACACTAAATATTGATCCGATTTAGTTTTGTAATGTCATTTTCACTTTACTTTTAGTGCCTAAACATTTGCACAGTACTGACCACTAGCAGAACGGCAAGGATTCTGGCGTCTTACGTGTGTTCCAGCTATTGTTGCAGGACGCCCAGGGCAGATCCCAGGTGAAGGAGTTGGACAGAAAGAAGATGGCCCATGCTAACACGACGATGTAGTAGATGTTCAGCAGAGCGACAATCACTTGGGTGGCATAACCGATTCCTGGAACAGAAAAGTGTATAACACTGAGCAGTAAAACACCACTATAATGTCCCTCGCAGTCACCTGGAGCTTAGGAACAGTACCATGTTGCATTTTATTTTGAGTATGTGTGACTACATTTGTGATTGAGTTCCACAGAGTTTTGATATGACCATGCATTTTGTACTGTGGAACTCTTCCTGCAGGTGATTGCTGATCACATCATGCCTCCAAAGCAGCTTGGACGACATTAGACGATCACACCTGGAGTTGTTTTGTGTCTCTTTTTACTAGTTTTCAACAGCAGCCTGAGAGGACCACAAATTAGATTTTACTTGCGAAATGCTTTTAGCTTCACATTGGAAGCCATCACTGTCGTGTATCTCAAGTGATTCACAGAAATAAAAATGTCATTGTTCCAACGCATAATTGCAGCCCTGACTCAACTCTTCGCCAGCTGTCATCCTCTGCAGGTTATGATTATGGCTGATTATAGACTTATTAGAAGGCAGCTGGCGGCTAAAAGCCTTCCAGAAATGTGACGTTAGCCGGTGCTGGTTGCTTTCCAGCCATTACAACACTGTGCATCACCCTCCTACATCTGCACTGCATTCATACAGGACTGACATATGCACAGAGACACACACAGAGTCACAATTATACTGCAAAAACAGTGTACGTATCGTACCGAAAAGAACACGTGCACATAAAGACATTGCACAGACATCCAGTTTAAATCCATATTGAGGTGGTATGCTTGTCTTTCCATACTGTGATTTATTAGATCATAACGTATTCATATTTAAAACATAATGAAGATTGATCGCGCATTTTAACTTTTACAAAGACGTCTTACACACACACACACACACACATATCTTAATTCTGTGTATAAAAGTTATTTTATGAGTCATTTAAGGTGCCTTAGAATTCACTGAATTATCTTTCTAAGGAAATTTACCTTCAAACAGTGGACAGATTTTCCTCCAGCAAGTGATGCCTCCCTCACTGGTGTACTGACCCAGAGCCGTCTCCAGGAAGAAGACGGGGATCCCACAAGCAAACAGGAAGATTAGATATGGTATAAAAAAGGCACCTGTAAAAGTACAGATTGAGGAAACTGTTAACAAAAATGCTGTCAACATGCCCCCAAGTAATGTAGCAAAATCAAGAGTGTTGCTAGTCCTGACATATATATCCTGTATATACTTCATGATATTTATGGAAACATTTCCAGAAAGTAAAGAATCTTGATGCTCAGCGACTTTTTGCTTGAAGCTATGACCTTGTTTCTTTTTTCTTTCAAAAGTAATTAAAATTAACAACTTTAATATAAATTCAAAACACTGGCCTGAGATCTTATTTTCTATCTGTTTCATTGGTTGTCAGTGATTTCTCATGCCTCAGACATTTTCTAACTTGCAGCATAGAAAAAAACCAACATCCATTACTACCACAACTAAAGGGAAGGGCAAGCTGTGAACAAAAGCCCTCGGGTCCCACTGGGCACATATCCACAATAGGGTTTGACTGATTATGGGCAATTATCTGATCCAGTATTCTGCTTTTTTTTTGTTTTAAATATTGTTTTTGTTAATACCCAGTTCCAGATTTAAAATAAACAATCATTTAATTTAAGAAAAAAAAAAAAAAGAGCACTACTTTGGCTCCGATGCAGCCATCTCTCTGGTCTTGAGCAATATTTTGTCCACAGCACTATCTGATTAATTACATGAGTAACAGCCTATCAACACTGAAGGATAAATGACAAAAGGTTCTCTGGTAATAAAAGATGTCAAACATAAAAAATCTAATCCATTTCAACACAAGATTTAAGCTGAAGTTCGTATTATTTTAAATTTTCTCAGGAAGATATTCATTTTTACTGCAGATGTATATTGCTTCTAAATCCGAGTTATCGGTCCACGCCTAATCCAGATCAAAACATTCTTTAACATATAAAATATCTGTTTCTGGTCACAGTATCTCCACCAGACCCTAACGCTGCACACGATGACTAAATGCATTTGTGTTAATCAGACACCAAGATAACAAACTAGAGATTTCCAGCACTCACCTCCCCCATTCTTATAGCAAAGGTAAGGGAAACGCCACACATTCCCCAGGCCAATAATTTCTCCAGCCACTGACAGAACAAACTCGATCTTGTTGCCCCACTGACCCCTGTCCGTCATCTTCTCCTCTGTACTCGGCACGATGTCCAGAGGCCTGCTGTGCCCATTGGAGGGTTCCACCTTGGACGTGTTCTCCATATCACCTGTGTGTCCTAAGAGTTACATTTGAAAGAGCAGAAGAGGGAAAACAAAAATTTGGAAGATGAAATGAAGCAACAGGCACATAGGGTGGCAAAGGTCACGGCAGGACTGCAGGAAGCAAGACAAAACAAGTCAGAAAGTAATAATCCTGAATTACTGTCTTGTTGTTTTCACACCTCTTCAGTGGAACAAAGTAATTCTGAGAGAAATTTTAAAAACTGACTATGGATACAAATTTCCATGACAGTTGTCAGTGTTTCTAGGATTACCATTCACCATGCCAGTTTTGGATAATTTGTACAGTTTGCTCACAAAGCCTCAAATGCATCCAGTAAGACAGGTCTAGGTCATTTAAAACGCAGCAGTCAGAGTCTTTATGCATTAATTTATAGCCAATCATATCATTCCAGTGCTCTTTATTCACCACATAACTTCTAATTTCACATTTCCTGCACATGCTATTTAATGTTCAGTGACGTTTTGAAATATCAGACACATTTAATTTAGATGCAATAAGATATGAAGATCAAATGCCTCGATTAGAGAAAAAAAAGGAATTTCAGCCGGCTGTCGAAGTGAATTCCCACTATGTATGTTATGTGCCAAACATGACTGTTTATGTTTACATCAGCAATCACGTATGTCACCTCTTTATTCCGTGGTGGATGAGGTCAGTAGTAATTGCTTAAAGTTATGTGATCATGAAGTTGGTCAGGCCCTCAAACAGACCCTGTTTTGGGGCCAGTGCTGCTGAAAGAATTTCTCTCTGTGGAGGAAACAGACAGCTCACTGACTGTGCTCACTCCTGTCAGATTGCATTACCAAGCTTCTCATCAGCCCTTCTGTTACCCCTTTTCCCTCTCTCCGGAACACATTGTGGTCACTGCTGCAGTCCAAATTCAAAACAAATTGATCATCAGTCTACAGGAAACATGCTCACACCAGTTCAGTTTCAAAACTACACCGACCTCTCTTCCCTTTCTCGGTTTTTCACACATCCACACAAACACATGTACATGTTGTGTGACCTGGTCTCACAGGACTAATGCAGCTGCCTTTTTTTTTCTAAATTTACTTCTGAGAAAAAGCACAAGGGATGGCAACCCCATTTAGTCCAAAGCTTGTGTGAAGCCACCTTTAGGAATGTGCTCCTACTGGCAAAGGGCAGAGGTTGAGTACAAGCGTGACTTTGTATGTGCTGCGCACATGGGGTTGGAGGTTGGACCCGTTTTAGGAGCCAAAAATCTCCAGTTCTAAAGCCAAATTGTGGCTGTGGTAAAAATAGAGCTCCTTGTTTTCATAAGGTACTTGGTGGGAATGAAGGCTTAGTGCAACAAAGGCAGGGTAGCCCCTCTCCTTGGAGCTGGCAAGTGAGAATCTGGTCTAGCAGCCAGATCGCTGTTCTCAGTGGCCCAAGTACCTCAACTTCCTCAAGACATTATTTTAAATAGGTGGTACTAAAAGTTAGAGTAACATATGCTGGCTGAAAATGGAGGTTTTCTCACACATAAAACATACCGGACAACAGACGAGCAGCACACTGTGAAAAAAAAAAAAACTAAGACTGGGAATGACCTCATCAAGGCACAGTGGAGCTTTATCCCGGGACACAGCGACGACACGGACTGTTTTTGAAACGTCTTGGATCAGCTGAGCTACTGACTGGCTGTAAGACTGACCTACTGAATGACTCGCTGATTGAGTGAAGGGTTGGCTAATGGATAGAACTTTAAAGGAATAGTTTGATGAATTCAGATGATATTTGTATGATAGGTGTGATGTGAAACTACAGCCAGACACGTTGCTGCCTCAGTTTTGCATAAAGAATGGAAACAGGAGGGATAAATTCAGCCTGGCTCTGTCCAAAGGTAGCAAAATGTACCTGTCTAGACTCTCTGTTTGGACTGCAGGAACTTGTAAGTAGTCAGCCATATGATTCACATAAAATTATGACAAGGAGTTAAAGTTTTGCACAGAATTTAAACAAACTATTGAACACAGCGAGATTAGTTGTTTTGCCTGTTTCCAGCACTTCTAATAAACAAAGCTAATCAAGCTGCTGTCTGGAGCTTCAGTATCAGAGTGGAACCAATCCTCCCAACAACGCTTTAAGCAATTTTTAAAATGTTAAACTATTCCTTTAATGACACTATCACCTTAGGGTGTGTTGCCACCTTTGGTGAACCTTTCCTGACCTCATGTCATGTAACTAAATTGGTTTATGCAGGCTCCTAAACACGACTTGGTGCATTCTCCTGTCAGCTTGGCCCTTTGGCCTGAAGCTCCAGTCCTGTGTTTCATTCCTCCCCGCCTGTCCTTGTGACTGATTGGACCACTGACGAGTCCTGTGCACCAATCAAGGTGTAGCAATCACTAAGCCAGGGTTGAAAAATGCACTTAATGTGTTATTTAATGTGTGCCTCTTGGTGTCCTTGTGTATGTAATGTAATTCTGTAACACTTGGTGTTCATGCGTTACCTTTTTTTTCTTTATTTTTTTTGCAACCACTTACCAGCCCATACTTGTAGTTCTCTGCAGTTTTATCCAAAGAGGTAATCGTTTGAATGCCTGAAGACTTTCCCACCACAGAAAGAATTAATTAGGACTGTTTCTGTTAGCTATAATATCCAAAACGGCTGGCTTTCTGCCCCCTCGCTGTACCCTATTAGAGCTGGGAGGTCTAGTACAAAAATGATCAGGTGTGTAACCTTATAGTCCATTTGAAATATGCATTTAATGTTTAATATACATGTGGAAATATGCTTATAATCACATAAGCTTAATATAATAATGGTAATTAATCAGAAGGCTGAAAATCATATTATGTAGATTCACGTGAAAAATGTCTTTACAACTTTGATCAAATTGTTTCGGAAGCCCCATTGCGCCAGTTCACCATGCAGCTCCTGCGCAGGATAAAGAATGTTATTGAAGTTCTATGGCAATTAGTTGCTCTCGAGATCAGATTGGTTTGTTTGCACTCTCTTACTTTAGAATAATTCAGTAAATGTAGTACTCACAGAAAACTTCTCCACCGCAGATGTAACAGGGTGAGTGACCTTTACATCAACTGTCAAGAAAAAATTCACTTAACCTTAAGCTCCATTTAGGTCCCCACCAACTCATGGACAAAATATCTGCACCTTGAGCTCCTAAATTCGTCCCCTGTGTTCACAAGCCTGTCTGTCACTTTGACTGTCTGCTGTGGGCAGCTGCAAACAATGCAAGCAAGAGTGAATCAAAGCAATAAAGTTTCAGGCCAAAACAAATAAGCTGAAAGACAAGCAGACTCTGCAGAGCTGATGGTGAAACGCAAGCAACCGAGATAAGAGTTTGCACTTTGATATTAAGGTGCAAGTGGAAAAAAGAAAAATACCAAGGGATAATCCAATAGATTAATCAGATATTAGTATGGTGCTTCTTATTCATACCATCAATATGCTATAGGAGCAAAAGCCTGAAGTTGGGAAGGAGTGATCTCACAGTCCTGTGGCTCGGCCTCTCGTGAACAAAGGCGAGAAGTGGGGCTCCGCTTCTGAACACGTGCAGGGTTACATATTCATAATGTGTTCATCGGTCCCACAGTTGAGTAATTGCAGGCTAATACATAACTGGAATAGTTACATAATCAGTGTTACACATGCACCTGCATTCTAAACATTTACAGATACAGCATGAGGTCTTTAATACTACTGACAGTAGACAATAGAAATAAGTTTTTGACTTTTGAATTAATTTTGTTACTTTTGAGGAAGTTTAATGATCTGCTTTCCAATTAATAATTTTGTACTGAGTGTTGTGTTTCAAATTGGGACCATTTTAAGCATCTTTGCAAAACAATATCAATGTTTGATTGTACATAGTGATGAAATGTGATAAAAACAATGCAAAATGAGTTACATGTGCTGATTTTGTTATATCCTGATTGAGAAGTAGCAGCATTTGTCTTGGATCAAAATCACATTTAGCCACATCTAATCTTCTTCCTGTGTACTGAACAGTAAGGCTATCAGCACAGAATAAACTGACCTGTGTAAAAGTTTGCTGAATACAGCATCAGAGTTATAAAAGCCTAATTTTGATTCACAGTAGTCCAGTCGTTGAGCTTGTGCACATTAGTTATGAGTAAAACAGCAGGTCTTTCCTGAGCAACATGAAGAAGCCTGCAAGGCTTATCTGCATTGTAGAGATTGTGAGAAAAATAATTATTTTAAGCAGCACCTTTCCCCTTAGCTCTTTTGCCAGTAATTAATTAGATACAATTTGAAGATGACTGTGAATATTTTCAGTCTTTCTCATAAAAAGCAGTAAATCCAATTGTCATCCATCTGAGCCTGAAGAAAAATATCACCTTATCACTAATCGAAGGCACTCACCTTTCATAATGTTGTGAAATGACAGTCTCCAGAAGAGAGTGTGGCATCAAATACGGGCCCGCTGCCGTTTCAGGTTTCACTATATACCAGGGAGGGGCGGAGATCTGAGAAACTGAAAACTTTGGTGCAGCCGACAGTGAGATTTCCCCTCTGCTTTGCCCCTCTCTGGAGACTCTCCACCCCCACCACCCACCACCCCCTTCATCCAATTCCATTCAGACACCCCCCACACACACAAACACACACACACACACACTCACTCCCCACAGCACACTAGAGGCCTGTGCTGTCTCAGCGTGGTGGGCTGATTGCGTAACCTTTTGACACACACATTCTCCCAGGGCCTGTCCAGACAGCGACAAGAAAGTCGGAGAGGCTGGACGGACTTAGGTGGACCTTCAGATGTGTGTGTCAAGGGCGCGCATTCGTTCATACGTGCAATGATCTGAAACATCACTGGGACTGGGCAGAAAAAGATTATTAGATACAAACATGCATCATCCACAAAGTGTGCAGCTTTGAATTATTTGTGCACAAGATTTCAGCGGTCTTTTCTGACTGATGGTAATTAAAACGTCAATCCTGCTTCATAAAGCCCCCTGCTCTAAACACACCCTTAATTCAGCCCCCCGGAAAAGAGTCTTTATTCCTCCGACCAGATTCCTTCCTCGAAGACCCAGAAGCCTATTCAGAACATTTTCCCACCACAGGGGTCCAGATTGGCCTGGTTCAAGGCGTTTGTTTTAGGGTCACAATCCAGAGGGTCTTTATGGAGGTGGGGATGGAGGGAGCAATGTGTTTCTGCTTTTCCTGTCTGAAATCTTTCAGGGGGAGATCTTTTTTTCTGTTAACTCCCCACCCCCACCTCACAACAAATTATAATTCAAGACATGGAGACATTAGCTTTTCTACAAAAATGAATCCGTCAGCATGACCACCACAGTTTTGTGGCAGTTTGAACTTTGATGTGCGACAAAGTGTTGGAGTTTAATTAACTTTTCTAAGTTAGTGGCCAAATACCATAAGTCACCAAAGCCTTGTTAACGTTTTAGTCACATGCTTTCACCAACAGAACCTTGTTAAATTGGAAATCTCCCTGCAGGTTTCAGTATGCACAGCTCCTTGTCACATATGAGATTTGACAACCCAATGAAAACGGAGTTCTACAAACATCTTCTTGCAAAATGCAGCTGGATCACACAGTTTGAGGACAGCAGAGGACACAAGGGGGACTCTAGCACACTGATTAATAGATTTAATTAATAAATAATTCATTAATGTCAGAGGACTAACATCTTATCAGCAACATAATAAAAGAACACCGATTGATTTTAAAGTTCAAGGATTAAAGGTGACAAAGTACAAGCATTAACATCTGGCAAGTGTGCCAACTTAGAGGAAATGTTACAAACTAAATCCAATCCAGTATGTCTATCTGCTAAACAAAGAGTTGATGAGTCCTGCACCTCTTCCAACATACTACCAACAGATCTAAATCACTTTGATGGCATGAACTCATTTTGTATGACTAAAAAGCACATACTGCATGATATTAGATCACATTTATGAACTGACTTTTCACTTCTAATTATTCAACATCATCTTTATCTTATAGGAATAGTTTGGTGCTTGCAGAAATGCGCTTATTTGCTCTCTTGCTGAGAGTTAGATGAAATAGTCTATGCAAGTGTGTACCTGTACAAGTTGTGTATTTGTGCTAGTTAGCTTTAAAGGTGCCGCTTAGTACATCTCATGTTATGTTTTAATGGAACAGTTCTATCTGTTTCCCCCTCTGGGCTGTTCTGATCGAAGCCAACAGGCTGAAGGAGGTAGGTTTGAATCATACTTGAGATCAGTCTTTTCATGTTCCCCCAAGAAACCAAACAGCTCTATTTCCCAAGATAAAAAACTAAGATAAGAACGGGACATTAACGCATCAGTGGGCCTGTATTTAATACCCACCTCTCTTCTGGAAACTTTCATTTTGGATCAAAACTTGCAAAACTATAAGAAAAACCACAAAACTTCAATATAAAGACCACAAAATAACCTATACGTTCATCTGAGACTTTAAAAAATGCAACCATTTAGGATGATATGAGTAAAACAGGTGAAAACACATCCTATCACCTATAGAAAACATGCTGTTAGCACCTCCGTTCTTTCCATATGTGATGGATTTATTGTTTTTTTTGCTTTTGTTGTTGCTTTTGACAGACCGCCAGGAAGAAAACTGGCCAAGTTTAAAGTAGGCTATAAGTGAGTACACAGAGATTAACACCGTGATGACAAGTTTGAATCAATCAAACTCATTTACCCCCACTCTCCAAACAAGACAGAACAAGCTGGGACACCTGCAGCTTCTATCAGTCTGACAGCTTTCAGTTGGTGCTTTATTATAGGATTATCAATAAAGATTTATCTTATGTTTGCTTTTAATAGTGAATAGCAGCAAATAACCGCTACAGTTGCACCTGTCTCAACAATAATGTGATATAAAGACCATGTAAAAGAGGGTTCCACTCTAGAATTTGATTTATTTTTATTTTATTTGCAAAAAATATCTTGTGATCACTCATTGACTCAACAAATCTGCTAAAAACTTTACAGACTAAAATGATTGTGCTGTCATGTATCATGTAACAGGTGTACTTTTAAACATCTGCATTTAATGAAGGTTCAAAACTCCATTACAAAAATCTTTTTTCAGTAATGCAAGCGTTTATGAGCAGTCCTCCACCAGTGAAGCTGTGAAGGCAACGGATTATTAATCAAACGTCATGTTCATCATTGTTTTTTTCAAAACTTTGTCCAAGAAAACTCGATGCAAGTCAGTGAGAATTTGTGTTTGTCACAGTTAGGCTAATCATGTCTTGGACAATCAGACAATTGCAAAGCTGTATTAGTATGATAGGTTGTAGTCTGGGCTGCACATATGTAAGAAGTATATATGTTACAGGTCTTCAGTAGGATGATCCCTTCGTGCCAATGCTACCTCTCTGCAAACATTAGCACAAAGATGTGTTTACCAGTTACTTCACTTCTAGATCCCTCAGGGCCTGAGATGCTTGAACCTCATGACAAAGATGTTTTGTAACTCAGCTTTTTCAACAAGCAAATACTTGCACCATTCAATAAAAACATTACATTTATCTAAACCAAGGACTCGGTGTGGGTGTGACAGTTATATTAAAACAATATTATGACAGAATGTACAGCAAGCAAGTACTTGCTCTTGAAATTTTTCTCAGGAGTGGAACTTTCCATGTATTTCTAAATGTGAACTGTCTTTGCTCTTGTGTTAAATCAATAACTAATTCTTGTAATTTATTTGATAAGCTTCACAATAAATTGGCATACAGCAGAATGCACAATAATACTCTTTTTTTGGTTACAGCTGTAGAAGAAGGTTTATCTAAATTAGTTACAACAGCTGTTTTTGAGATTTTTCACAACTGAAATGTTTCCATCCCACAATAATAGAATATTTTGACTTTTGGATTTACATGATTACTTTTTATGCTCCATGTCAGTTCATATTTTGCTCTAACACAGCTAACCTTTGTAACCTTGCCTTGAACATGGTACATGGAACACTGCTCAGATATCGTTGTTCAATATTGTTTGGTTTTTTCATTCATAAAGTGACTTGATTTGAAATTTAAACCAGCAGTGGCACAGACAAAACAAAAGCTTTTCTCTAATAACTCTAGATGTAGCACAGATTGATAAATTCTCAGACTAGAATATAAAGATCTCGTGGTTATTAGCAGTTAATGTATCAAACTATGATTCTTTTTAGCAAACCAGAAGCAACAATCCACGAGTCATGTTGTAAATATGACATCTTCTCAAATGGTCTGATTTTTAAACAAAACTTTATTTATAACAGCGGTTGCATTAACACATTTTAAATCTGCTGTCACTGACAAGAAACTCTTACAAGATTAGTCTCATGTGGAGCTCGTAAAGCTGATATGAAATGATTAAACAGCTTCCTCCGCTCACATCACAGCTGCATGTGGTCTTTGAAAACATTCATTTATTCATCTTTTTCATTCACTGTGAGCCAGAGCCCTCTAGTGTTTAGTGTGAATATTTACCAGACATAAATGGTGAATTAAAGATTCCTCTGATGCCAAAAAGAGTTCACATCTTTAAAAATGAAAATGATGTGCATCACAAATAAAGTTATAAAGCTTAATATTCATCATGAAAGGGATACTCTGGATGGTCACTCCACCTGTGTCAAAAAATAAATAAAAAAAGAGTTATTATTCTAAGCAGCAAACAAAGACTTAGAAGTGTTTTGTAAATCTTTTCTTGCATCACACAGTAAAAATATTCTCACTGATCAGAGCTTGTACTTACATGAGCAGCTCCACAAAGCGAATGTTTTTGTTCAGGGCTTCGATGGCTTTCATTTCCTCCTCAGTGAGTGAAAAATCGAATATCTGGAACAAAAAGTGATGAGTTTTTGCTGAAATGATTGAACAGAATTAGAATTTGGCCACTATAATTTGCCTTTGAACACATACTGTACGTGCACATGGCGTTAAAAAGCATTGAGGTTGAACTACCTGGAAGTTATGATTGATCCTCTCTGGGCTGAAGCTCTTTGGAATCACCACAACTCCTCTCTGCACATTGAAGCGCAGAGCCACCTGGGCACTGCTCTTGTTGTACTTTTTCCCGATGGACACAAGCAGCTCGTCCTCCAGCAGAGGAGGACTTTTCACGTTCACCCTAAACCAGAGACAGAATTTAATACAAACAATACCAAGATAGTTTTTAATCAAAGTTGTAAAGTTTAGCATCCTTAAGTGTTTGGGAACAACATTATTGTCCCATACTAGACTCAAGTGTTGCCCCAATATTGCTTTTTTCCCGCTTTTTTGAACATATTTTATATTTTATTTTGATCACTGACAAAATATGAGTTCTTTCCATGATAATACTATGCGTCACAGATTTACTCTATTCACTTAAGTGTTCACTTTTGTTACCATTTGTTGTTGAAATCTTAAATTCCTCTTAAATCTAGAATAAGCAGCATTAATCCTTAACAGCCTTTCAGCATATTGTATTTTTAATGGCCTGAGAGGAAACAAGACTGCTGCATCTCTTCTTGGCTGTTTTCAGGCTTTAAAAAATCTAACCCGTGACAGGAGACTTTTGCTCTTTTCAAACAAGGTCAGGTGAAATAGCCTAAAGAGCAACAAAGTCTACAACAGGACGAGGATGTGGAATTGGTTAAACAGAGCATTTTTACTCCGCAGAGTGATTTTGAGTGGCTTTTCCAAATGTCTGCCTACTGCAGCTTTAAAGTCTGATGAATCACTAATCACAGTTGTGTGGTTAACTGTCACCGACATTTTAGATTTTACTGTCACAAGATGTCTAAAAGTGCCTTTCTGAGTTTTTCCAACCTTCCATGACAACAATACCGGGGTTACTATTTAATAAACTACCACACTAGTGTTGGAAAGTGCACATCTCTTAAAATCTACCTACCAGGATGCATCTCTGGAGGAGCCAATTGGGCAATAGCCAACAATCACAATGTCATTCTGACGACAGTACTCCAGAAGTTTGGGTTGTGTGAAGTATGGATGACATTCAACCTTGAGGCAGGAGAGAAGAAAATACAACATGAAAAAGAGAATTTTCCCAAAGTGAGCTAACATTACATCAGCATCCTGTGCTCTGACTCGCCAGAATAAAACTGGACGGGAGTCAAAAGGGAAAATCATTTCCTTTTCATGCAGTTTAAGGTAAAGAAAATGCTTTTTGGCACGGTTGTTGACTACTTTGTGACAAGATATTTCCTGTCATCAAGTAATTAACTCACAGATCTATTGTCAAACTCATTTTCTGAATAGGACGCACAGAGTTGACGGTGGCCAAAACTATGACAAGCACTACCTTCTTATTAATGGCCTCTAACACCACTTCATGCTGTGATTTACTATTGTAGTACACACACAGAGCTCTCTGTAACGTCAGCGGTTGTCTAAAGAGACAGCTTGCGTCACCTGGTTGGATACGGGTTTGTGTTTGAGGCCAGGTTTATTCAGCAGCAGTTCCAGCTGCCTGCGGTTGAAGTTGGAGACACCGAGGGACTTAACCAGCCCAGCATCTTTGCAAGCCTCTAAAGCCTGTTGAGAAGAAAAGATTTACATCCTTTCAAAAGCTGATAGTGATTATCTTTACAGACTTACTGAGATAGTGGAGAAAAACAAGAAGCGCAGTGCAGAGAAAAGCTGTTCTTTGAACACTTGGCAGTTTATGACACTGTCCTTGACAGTCTGTGATGCTGCAGCAGAGAATGTTCTGGCATCAACTTTAGGGTTTGAAAGAATATCATAAACTAAAGTTATTCATTTCATATTTTTCTTTGAAGACATGACAATCTGTACAGTGTACTACATGCACTCCTAAAATGCACAGAAGAGCATATCTTTCAACTTGCAGAAAGCACTATTTACCATGTAAAGACATCTGAATTAGATTAATAGAACTTAAATTATGCTTGATATTTTTGTGACATACGAGGTGTGTCAGAAAAGTTCCAGGACTGGTGTCACAAAAGATATATTTCAAACCCAAACTACAAACTACCAGTTTTCCCCTTCAGACGATCAACCATCACGTCTACAAAAAGATCCTACGGCGTTTGTTTCATTCAGTGCGCAAGAAGAGGCGAGAGTTGTGGCAGGTCAAGTCGCAGCTGCTTCACCATGACAACGCGCCTGCTCAGAATGTCCTGAGCATCCGACAGTTCCTGGCTGAGAAGAACATCTCCGTGCTGGAGCAACCTCCCTACTCACCCCATCTGGCTCCGTGGGATTTTTTCCTCTTCCCCAAGCTCAAGGGGGTCATCAAGGGGACCCGTTTTGAAGACATCGACAACATCAAGATGGCTGTGAGGACAAAGCTGCAGAGGATCCCAGAAGAATCCTTCCAGCAGTGCATGACAGCGTGGCAGAGAAGGCTGGGAAAGTGTGTTAGACTCCAGGAGGACTACTTTGAAGGGGAAAACTTGTAGTTTGGATTTGAAATATATCTTTTGTGACACCAGTCCTGAAACTTTTCTGACACACCTTAGTACATGCAATTAATCCTACCATTTTGAAGGTTGTCATATTCATTTGTTTAAAAAGATAACACAGATCTACTTTATTGTAATTTTTTGGCTGCATTTACTGTTTGTGTTATAATATTCTGTCAGTCCCCACTAACATAAAAGCATGTTGACCTACAAGGTGTTTGATGTGCTTCATGTATTCATATAAACATGTGATGCAAAAGTGCCAAAAAATGCAAAAAACACAGCATTTATAAAGGCAACACATTCTTCTATTGCTATGGAAATATCATCTCACATTACAGCGACAAGGAGGAGATGTATAAAGTCATTAAACAGCAGGAGCATCTTCAGTGAACGTGGCAGAACTTACCTCCCATGTTGCACAGAGGTCTGTGTGGTGGTAGATGTATTTGCCATCTTGGTCTTTGGGATAAAATTCATTTCCAGGCTAAATCGTAAAGCACAATACAACGCTTTGCATGAACATTTGTTGCACATCCCTCTTGAGAGGCTGTGACCTGTGCATGGTGATGCTGAAATACCGTGCAAAGTGAAGGTGTGGACGTGCAGACGACCTTTGTTGTTCTTAGCTATTTTAAAATTCATACAAATATCTGACGATAACTAATTCCAGAACCCAATCTTAACTAAACATACATCTGGTTCTATAATCTTCTGTGACAAACGTATCATTAACAACATTTTACACGTGTCATGCATGTGGCTGACTGATACGTTTGCTGTTATCTGTGTAATGTGTAGAAACCTTGAAGGCCATCGGAAGCTCAACGATGTAGAGATCCACATATTGTAGTTTTAGGGTTTTCAGTGTCCTCTCCAAGGCTGGTCTCACCAACTCTGGTGGATGGAAGGTATTCCAGAGCTGACAAAGATAACACACTGATATTAGAAAACATTCAAATCATATTAAACTAGAGAGAAAAAATGTTTTTGCTTTTCGGAAACTGTATACAGATGAAAATAAAATATCTGATTTATTGGCCTTGAGAATAATATGATGGATTCTTAAATAGTTCAAAGTAAACTGAGAAAATAGAGACACCTGACATAACACATGACAAGAATGTATTACCTTTCCACAATAAAAGATGTCCTCTCTTCTTACAGTTCCATCAGCAATCTTCTCTCTAATGGCTTGACCCACTTCGTGCTCGTTGAAATACACCAGCGCCCCATCAAAGTGCCTGTAACCTACATCTATGGCCAGTCGGACACACTCAAGCGCAGTGCCTTTGGATGTCTGTTGAAAATCCACCGAAATTGTAAATATTACTTGACCTGATTTTGTTCGAGCTACAGCTGCAGCTTGTGCAACTACAGCATGCATTCCTGCTCTAATGATACTTAACCAGCCATTGCAAGCAGTAAACACTGACAGCCCCACGTCACACAGAGCCATCGCAGTTAAGCAGGCATTAGAAACACAGACACTATGGTCTTTATATTCTTCTCACCGTTCGAGGATCTCCATAGGTGCCCAATCCCAGCAGTGGAATACGATTACCATCGCTGAGAGGGATACTGTGGCTCTTTGCTGTTAGATTCATGTCTGTGCAAATGTGAATAGCTGAGCTTCTCTCTATCTAAGAGTAAATGCAGTTTGACCATGAACATTGAACCTTGAAGCTATCTCTAATGCACTTGTATTTCTCAGTGGGTCAATGTCTGTTGTGCAATGTGTTCAACTCAGTAACTGTTAGCACTGAACATTGTTAGCCAAAACATTATAGTGCTTCCATTAGATTACAAACAGGCAGAAGTAGAACAGCGAGTCACATGCTTTTACTAACAAGACAGTTTAGTGAAGTTGATAATGATGAACAAAATGTGATGTAGATAGTCAAGTATAATTACTTTAATATTGCAGGACCCTTATAGGGCTTTTATTTTGAAAACCAGCTGTGACATTGCTTACAGAAACAACAATGCCTCAAACAGGAAGAGGTTGCGAATAGATTTGATTGTTATTTTGGCCAAAATGTGTTGCAGTCATGTTTTCTGTCAGTTTTACACGAGTTGGACTTTACACACACATGATTATTCCAAAACACAGATACACTGCATGTGACATGTTCGAGCTGAGCTAAAACACACATGCTATTTAAGTCCAATGGTTAATAAATTAATTAAGATCAATTAATTCATCACTGGAATAGGAAGGTATTACATGCACATTTAAAGAGCTTACTTCCCCATACAAAAACCATATCAGCGAACAAAGAAGTTAATCATGCTTAAATGTTTGTTGATTTACAGACAACTGAATATTGAAAGCAACACATGTTTGCATTCAGTATGCTGTTTATTCTTTGCATTCAGATGAAAAGGTCACTCTAGTTGCATATATTCAAAGGAAATGTGACACGCTTCTCACTGCACATAGGCTAATTTCATTAAATTCCATTTCATTTCAAGGTGACTCTGCTAATCTGCTCCCTTCGGGAGCACAGTTTTCAGGGTTTGTGATCTCAGGGACATCCTGTGTCAGGCTTGCCCAGATTGTTCCAGAGCATCACTCGAGCAGAGTCACCACCAAAAATAAAATGCATTTCATTCTGAACTAAATAGTTAAATCTGACAAAGTGTCCTGTCTGAACTGAGCATAATCTGGCAAAATAATTTCCTTTAAAATGATTCAAGTTTCATCCTCTATCTCTTATTGTATTTGAAAAAACTTGCAACAATCTGAATTTACATTTATTTGCATTGCAACTGTACTTGATCCTCACTGAAAATTCTACTCTCTACATTCATTTCACAACTTAAATCTGGTTGCTGAAATTCAGATTCAGATTCTGTCACACTGTGACACACATAACCCTAACACTATCATAACCCTAACCCGAGGAATATCAAAGGGTTTTGTTCGTATCAGAGCACTGCATTTTTACCTCATCTAGTCCTAACCATAACCTTAGCCTAATCCTAACCACAAATTTAGCCTAATCCTAACCATAACCTTATTCTAATTCTAACCATATCCTGAGCCTAGTCTTAATTCTAACCATAACTTTAGCCTAATCCTAATCCTCCATCTGAACCCAGACAACAAACCAACACCTTTTCTCCAAACTGAGATCAGCATAAATCAACAACACCAAACCAGGTATCGTAAAACACAAATGAACCTATAACAGAACTGAACATCAGAATCCAAACCCCCTTTGGGGAAACAATATGACACTAAGCATAGAAACAGGACTAGAGAGCTATTGACAGTATTGACAGTGCCCGTTGGCCAGTGCATTGCCTTTGGCTGTCCGTTTCAACTGCCCGGTCGACAGGCAAAGCGGAGGGAGTGATTAAGAAAAAATTCCACAAACCAAACACTATAATGTTTTGACATGTTTTTACGGTTGTATGAATTTTTAAATTTTGTTTTGCAAAGTTATTTCATCAGTCTTCATTCTGTTTTGCTTTTTGTAGATATTTTTGCTGCTGCTTGAATGCTAACACGTACAGCACTTTGGTCAACTCGGGTAGTTTTAAATGTACTACAGCCTATAATATAGTAATACAGTAATACAGTAATATATATATATATATATGTGTGTGTGTGTGTGTATGTATATATATATATATATATGTATAGCTGTTTATATTGCTCATACTGTGTTTATACTGCATATATCTTTCATTTCATCCCACCTTGTATCCACAGTTCATACTGTTAATAGTGTTTATACTATCCATACCACTATTTATCCCTACCTGTACACGTACATTTATTTATCTTTGTGTTGGTATATACAGCTATTATATTTGTAAACTTAGAACGTTCATACCACTCTGTCCTATTTGTTCGTTCTGTTTGTTTATATAAGTGGTGAATATTGAGTAAGTTGACCATTTCTAAAATCCGAGTTAATAGGCAACATGAGTTTTTGAGTTCAAATTCTCAAAGTTGGGGTCATGTTGTGTTGTTTTCGCGCCAATCTGTGAAGCAAAGTTGCAAGTGCCATTACTTGAGAACTAAAGCTAGAGTCCTGAAATTTTGCAGACTTGTTGAGATGTACATATGGTCTTCAATGGTACAACCCTGTTTTAATGGAACCATAAAAAACAATTATATGATTTGGTGTAATAAATAACTCAATAAATAAATAAATAAAAAAAAATCAGTGTTTCTTCTCTAATATTCCAACAACCGTAAAACATTTTGTTCATCATAAGAGACTGAATGTTTTTTGTGTGATTGGAACCAGTACACATGGTTTACTTAAATAACATATGTATGCACAGAAAAAAAAATCTGACAAATATGAGACTAGGCATGAACTTTTTTTTTCTTAATTTGGTGGATTGAACTGTGCACTTTTACTTCTTTTGCAGTTCTGGTTAGATGCTTACCTCATTGTCTCAGTACTTGTACTGTATGCAAGGACAAATCTAATGTAATCTATAAATAATCTAGACTACAGATTCATTGAAAGCAGATGGTTTATTACTAAAGGGTCCTTTAAGAATATAAGAGGTTAATTATTGATGATCTGAGCACTTGCTGCAAACATTTTGGTTGTGATGATGGTATATAGGTTCAAGTGGTTACTAGATAGCTTACTGTGCAGTTTTTTAGATCAGAGGCGTGGGCTGCAAGAAAACAATCTTAACTGGTTGCTATGAAGTTTCCGAGTGACAAAGATCAGACAAACCCAGCGGACTTTATCCTGCAGCTCGGACTCTGTTTTCTATGACAACATGTCATATTTTGACCCCACCCCTCTCGTGCCGCAACAAGCGCGTGCGGTGCAATTTGAGCAACATCTGCGGCACGCGAACGTCACGCGGAGGAGGTGTGTTTTGCTTTTAGCGGCGCAGGTTACACACGATGCGCTGCCGCTTATTTTAACCATTTCGAGGATTATTAGTGAATTAACGTCGCGCTGTTTCAAAAGAATCCCGAACTGACAGAGAGTGAAGAGGACAATGCAGGTATGAGAGGAGCCTGGTGAGCGTGTGTCTTGAAGAAACCAAGGCTACGAAGGTAAAAGTGCCGCTAATGGATGACTGCACAGAGGCACGGCAGCCGGTGGATGCTGCTGTTATCATTGTGGAGAACGAAGCGGAACCAGCGCGAGAGGAGAAGTCCGGCGCCACCGACCACGTCTACCTGGACACCTGCCCCGTCTGCCAGCTCAACTTTCACAGCCGAGAGCCCAAACTTCTGCCGTGTCTGCACTCTTTCTGCAAGAAATGTTTGCCGCCGCCCTCCAGGAATTTGGCCATGCCAGAGCCGCCAAACTCCCAGACAGACAGCGCGACCAAACCACGTGAGTCCCTGTGTTTACAAACTGACCAAGGATCGATTGAAGGGTGTCACCTCCTCTGCATGCGAGGAAGCAAACTTCGCAGCGTAACCCTGATGTGGTACTATTACATACACATGTGCATGGATCACCTTTTTAAATATAAATATCTCCTTTCATATGCCAGGTGTTTCTCCAAAAATGCACATATAAGCCCAGTTTTATTGACTCAGACCAACATGTGTGTTTCTTTTTTAATTCCAGTAAATGTGATCCGCTGTCCAGTGTGCAGGCAGGAGTGTATGGAGGTAGATGTGATGGATAACGTCTTTGTGAAGGACTCTGTGGAGGCTCCTAGCAGCACAGTGGAGAGGACAGTTCAGGTTGGTGACAGAATGTATTATTACCATATGGGGGCAGCCTGTTACTAGTAATGGCTACGATATTCCCAAATGACTAGCTTGTGCCCTGAGGGTTTGTACCAGGAACATCTGGGTAGCAAATGTACCCAACACTTCAGAGTAGCAGCTTGGGTAATGCAAGATTTTTTTTTTCTTCTTTTTTTTTATGCACTGATGTAATCCTTGCACACAATGTCTAATTTCACAAATTTCTTGTCTCTTGTGTCCGTAGCTCTGTATGACCTGCGATGACAACACTGAAGCTGCCGGGTTTTGTGCTGACTGTGTTGAGTACCTGTGTACCACCTGTGTGGAGGCCCACCAGAGGGTTAAATTCACCAAAGACCACACCATCAGACTGAAAACAGAAGTATCACAAGGTATTTATAACCTGTGTCCTTATCTCATTTTTTCCCCCCTTTTTTTCTGTGAAATACTTGTGCTGTTTCCATGACAAAGAAAATGGCTGTTATGGGAGAAGAGCTGCTGGGGCTGAATGTACGTTTATTTACAAGTGCATATTGTACTTTTTCATAGGAATTGGCTTTATACCACCTACACAGTCCAAGTACTAGTGCCTATGCAGGGGATAGATCAAATACCATCATGTGCCAAGTGTGGATTTTTTTTGTTGTTTTCCAGAGGTGCACGGTGTGTCAACTCAGAGGCCGATGTTCTGTGACATCCACAAACAGGAACCGCTAAAACTTTTTTGTGAGACCTGTGACCTACTGACCTGCCGCGACTGCCAGCTTGTCAAGCACAAGGACCACAAGTACTGTCAGACTGTGTACTATAATATGATTATACAGTATTTCAGTTTGAATTTGTGTTAAACAAATATATGGTGGCCCTGTGTTTGCTATGTGATATGTAATTGTAGCATTGATTTCAGTTTATTGCTCATAATTGATGTAAAGTGTCTTCAAACAAGCCTGTGTGCTGAATTAGAAAGCAACTGGACTTCTTTTTGTTCTTGAAGAAGTTTCCTCTGTCATTCAGGAGGAGTCCTCAATTCTAATTGACTAATGAGGACTTCCGGGTGTTTATTAAGGTCCATCTCACGTTAATTAAGGTGTGAATTGTTTTAAAGCTGCCTGAGGATGGATGTGAAGACTGTTTTGTGTGTGACAGATAGGTGGTGCTGTTGGTCACCGCCCTTGTTTAGAAGTGGTTGTTCCAGGTTAAAGTAGATGGCTTTCTTCGCTCCTCTCTCAAATCATCTGTGTTAAATAAACACCTGGAACGTCCATCGGTCGCTTAGAACTGAAAGAGTCTCTTGGATGAGAGGTAAAACATTTTCAAGAACCAAAAATGTGTCCAAGTGCCTTTCACTGTACTTTAGCACTTAGGATTACCATGACCTGGATGGCTGACAATCTACGCACACATATCGTTCTTGCATAAGCCACAGCACCGCTGCCACCACCAAGTTGTAGTTGTGCTTATCACTCAAGAAAACTTTGTTCAGAGATTATTGTGACAAAAAGTGCATAGTAATATCTCATCATTTATTTCACTGTTAGTGTGTTTGCACTGACTCACGGATGTTTTTGAATTAGTTACCAGTTCCTTGAGGATGCTTATAAAAACCACAGACAGCACATGGAGAGCATGACCCATCAGCTGCAGGAGAAAAAGAAACTGATTGAAGAGGTGTCGGACTCCATAAACAATGGGTATGTATCTACTTTTCAACAAGGATGTGCAATTTGTTGGAGACAATTCTAGTTTCTAAGTAAAAATACCTTGTGTTCCAATACAAACTTTAGATCTCATCAATAAGAATAACTGGCAACTTAGTATGGATAGCAAAATTCATATCTGAAATGAGAATGTGTTTTAGATATAGTACGTTTTGTTTGACTTTGCAAAAAATTATGCAACATCCAACCATAATTATTTGTACAAAAGTGACTTATTGACAACTGGGATGCATGCTTTGCAGACTTCTTCTGGTTGATCAGAACCGTACGTCTGTTCATAATGAAATAAAGAAGTCCGTCTGCAGTCTGATTCTTGAGATAAACAAGAAAGGCAAGATGCTACTCAATCAACTTGAGGTATGACAAACACTTACAAACATTAAAAATATAACAAAACAATGTCAATTACTAGTTTCTGGTTTGCATGCTCCCCCTCAAGCCATTTGAACTATTCACTTATTCTTGTTTTCCAGACTGTAACTAAGGATCATGAGAGTGTCCTGCGAAAACAGCAGGAGGACATTGGCTATCTATCCAGACACCTGGATCATGTCATCAGCTTCACCAGATGGGCCACAGCCAGGAATGGAGGCATGGCCCTCTTGTACTGTAAACGTTTGGTGAGGCCTGACTGATCACTGATCCAGTCAATAGTGTTGTTTTCCCAATTTTTACACTCAGCTTAGCTCTTAAAGCCAGTTAGGACCCTGATCTTCCACAATGAAGTGGGAACATATGTGCTTTGTAATGCACAAGTGTCCCCCTCTGAAAATTATTAACAACGTCCCTTCTGTCGCAGATTCTGTTTCAGATTGGAAACCTCCTGCGGGCAAAATGCAGTGTCTCATTTGTGCCACAGAGCACCGTACGCTTCCAATGTCGAGCCTCGTACTGGGCCTCAAATGTTGATCTGGGTAAGACATAAACAAATGACCTAGAACTCTGAGGTGGATGGATTCTTCACTTTTCTCTTCGAGTAGTTTTGCATGAACTGAGAGCTTCTCTTGATTTTACTGCTGTGTACTTTTGGCTAATTTCAATAATGTTCTCCTGCCCTAAGATTGTGGCTGCATTTGTACAAACAGTCCAATTAGGACTCACAATGGTCTTCATAAACAAGCATGACAACAGTCAGATGACCAAAGGGGATTAGTTTGGGACTGATGTCACTTGGATGAAGGATGCTCAACTATGGGGGAAACTCAGAAGGATTTAGAGAGTTGAAACACTTAACAGTGTTTGGCATTTGCAACAGTTGCAGTTCATTTAAGTCTGGCAAAGGTGCTGAAATGTGTCATTAATCTAAGTCAGTCGACAGATTGTCAGAAATACTAACAATTTTGCTGAATGATTGTTTAAGTCTAGCAGAATTTGTTTTTATTGAATAAAAATCCCAAACATTGTCTGGGTCCAGGCGGGGAACATCACCATAAATTGAATACCTTTTGTTTTGAAAAATCAAACCATGCAATTTGATGCGTCACACCAGGCTGTGGAAAATTCTGATGGACATTTTTTTCCAGTCTTTAACAGACTAACCATTTAATTGAAACAGATTAATTGATGTTAAAACCAATAGTGGCAAATTGTCATTAGTTCTAGCCCCACCGGCCTGTTTTTGCATTTGAAACCTAACTTTTTCTGTATTTTTGCTAAAACCTCCTCTTCCCCACAGTTCTCTGGAATGTTCCTTCTGTATTGGGTGTTTTTCATCACTACTTGTTATGCTCATCCTGTATCTGTGTGTATGTCCCCTCAGGCTCTTTAGTGGTGGAAAATGTACCAGGCCACCAGCTGGGTGGTTTTCAGGGTATTCCTCATCAGCTCACTCACCCCGGGCAGGGCCCTTCAGGCTCACCCCTCAGCGTTGCCTTGGGAGCTCCCCATAGCACTCTGGCTCAGCTCCAGATGCAGGTGGACAAGCTAAACCCGTTGGCTAACTGGCAGCCGCTGCCTCCTCCTCCGCCCTGGACATGGTACCAGAGCATCCGACTGCCACGGACCGTCCCGGGGCCCCAGCAGGGAGGCTCTCCGTCCCACAGTATGAATCCCCAACCAGGCCGCAGGTTCATCGTGCCTCCGCCCAACCATGTCAGCCCAACTAGCAGCTTGCCGAGCCCCGGATTTCCTCCCCAGGTTATTGTGCCTTTCTGTGTGTGAGTGTGCGTGCGTGCTCGTGGCTGTTTGATTGACAAGCCCTCTTAACAAGCACCGACAGCAGATGGCATTGTCCTAAATAGAGCTGACAGCCTTCACATCCTGGGCAATTTATGCCTTTCCTTGTCAGGATGGATTTTAGTCTTGGATGAGCTTATGACTCAAAATCATGAAGTAAATCAGCTTAATCTGCAGTGCAGCAGCAGCCAGCGTGTGACAGAGGACCAGAAATTCCATAAGTAAGGCTCGATAATATCTTGTCATCCAAGTTGTTTAGTCTAGTTCACAGGGTGTTTTGGTTCCCACTCTGAAGTGCAGGATCATTCACAGGACAATACTGGCATGTGAAGTGCACACAAGCCATACTGATGTGAGCAAGCTGCTACAGCTGCATAGTAAAGAAATATTCCAGTACTTTGCATGCTTCACAACAAATCATGTTTGTACACATCACGCTGTTAAGAGTCTTTTACAGCATGTTGTTTTCATGCCAGAGTAGGTTTTTATAGTCTGTTGTGAGTAGCTGCCGTTTTTTTTTTTTCCTCCACTATGGTACAGTCAACTTAATGTAAATTTAAAAAAACTGGCAACACCATAATGTTACAGGAAGTGTGCAGTGTTATTGTTAAATCCAACAGCTTTCAGTTCAGATCAGTTTAAACAGTTACCTCATACGGTTCATGATGGGGGAAGAAAAAAAAACCTGACATGATAAGGCAAGTTTCAAATCTCTGCCAGTTGATTGTCATGCTGTTGTGGAATAAATGAAGAGTTATGGCTTACTGGAAGGCTTGTGAAAACTGTCACTGCTGAAAAGTAAAAGCACTTGAAAACTCAGTTTCAGATCCTAAGTATGTATTTATAACAGTGAGCATCCAAAACTCAGTAAGCAACAAAGGTTAAATGAGAAAATAAAACTCTTAACAAAACCTTTGTAAAGAGTTGAACACTCATAACTCAGTGAGTGGTTGTGGATTGATCCAATTTAATAGATATGAGTGTAATGTCATAAAACACAACTGTTTTATGATGGTTTACATTTTTTTGTTAAAGTAGGTCCCAATACTCCTAAAAAGTTGTCGGGGTCATGTGATTTGAAGCAGTGAGTATTTGTACTGTAGCATAATGCAATAAAGCATAAAAAATGTTCGTATATGCCAATCTATATATCTGAACTAACCTAAATTAGACACATGCATTTAAATGTTTTATAAAAATGCTCGATAAAATCGGTAGTAAGTCAAAGATTATCTGCATCTGCGTTATGAAAACCATAATACGCCACAGCTACATCTCTTGGACAGATTAGCCTGGAACTGAATGTTTTTCTTATGGATTAGTCTTCTCTGTTGTGGTTGCATCAGCCCACACAGTTGGCAATGAAAAGTGCACCTTTTTATCTCAACTTTCATTATTACATGCTTACAAGTTTTGACAGGAATAAAAAGATTGCCTTGCTCTCTGTCTTTCTTTATTTCCTCCATTCATTGTAGCATCATCTGAGGCTGATGGGAAGCAGCTACCAAACCAAACCCGTGGACATGTTTTCTGCTTCACCTCCCTACTCGCATATAAGACCGCTGCCCATCAATGGCGGCGTCAGTTCGCCTCAATCAAGACAGGTGGTAAGCGACTCCCTCTAATACCTGTGCATGATGATTATCATTGCATAATATCACCTATTTAATAAATTAAACGCAGTGTTGTGTTTAGATTGAGCCCACGTATGTGAGCAGGAGGAATGAATCAGCTGGTCCAGTATACATGGTGAATCCCAGCTATCCTCAGGGCCTGATGCTGTCTTTGCCAAACAGAAATGGTACGTTTATGTCATCAGTGTTGTTGCACTCATGTATCGTTTTGTGTCATGCAGAGTATATGTGTAGTTCTGTTCTTTCTAAAGTACTACTCAAATATTTTATTCTCTTTCAAGTGCAAGGACAGCAGAATTCACCAGGGTACGCTGCTGTATCCCAGGAGGAAAAACCTGAGTAGGGACACCACTGTGACACACTCATAAACACACATGAGCACAGATCCTCTCTCTTTCTCTGATATGAGCCAAGTCCCTCTGTGCCATTGCTGTCTCCCGTGAATTTTGCTTTAATTGGCTTTTGTTTTCCTCCCAAGGACTGTTTCCTGGAAACCTCCAGAAGCACAAAGGGCTAATGGAGAAATAGGCTCTGCTGTCAAGAGGAGAAGAAGATCATCTCCAGGGCCAATCATTGTCATCAAAGATGAGCCAGATGATGACAGCATTTATGTAAGGAGACAATAAATCTTTATTATAACAGTCTGAGGAGTAATTCACATATAGATTTTATTTTGGATAGATGCTTTTATCCAAAGCCTAGTAACTTAGCCAGGCTGCCTTTACCAAAAAAAAAAAAAGCACTGGACTGACACAAAGCATGAATTTAAAGTAAGATTGATACTTATTACTTGATTGGTTGATTTTTTTTTTTGAGTTTTTACCATCATTTGTTAACATTAAATTGTGTTCACCCAAGTAAGTAATAGGAACTGGAAATACACTACTGATACAGTTCAGAAAGATTACAAAACATACGCAGTGAGACAAGTTGTAAACAAGCCACTCTGACACAGTGGATCAAGGCATAAGGCTGCCATTTCCTCCATGCATTTCATTGTCTTCCGAATCCCTTTAACGCAGAAAACAACTACCTCCAAGTTAGAAAGCTACACACTGACACACTAAAAAGTTTTACCAAAGTTTTGGTTTGTGCAATAAGTCAGACCTGCTGTGTTCTTTGGGCGAATTGTAAATTTTTATGACAGTGCTTGCTTCCCAGCGGGCAAATGTTCCACCAGAACAATTTCCCCCGTCACCGTTTTGCAAGGGTACCATTGCTGCATCCTGGGCTCAGGACACCCGAGGACTATTGTGATTGGTCTAAAGAAGCACAACAAGCCAGAACATTTTTTTTCCCTGTTGCAGAAGGATGATGAGGTCCAGCCAGAGCATTCTCCAGGGCTGACACAGCTGAGAAGATCTGGCCACATAAGACTATAAAACAAGCCAACAGCTTAAAATGTCAGTAATAATATCTTATTGGAGAGAAAAACTATGTAGCACAGATATGACAAATACTGCATGTCAGCGTTAAAGCCTGGGCATGCCAAGTATCCCAGAAGAGTTTTTGTTTTTTGTCATATTTGTTGAAAGTCTCTTTACATCCCAGCAGCAATTAATAAATCAAGTGCTCTGATAATAAAAACATGCTATGTGGCAGTCACAGGTCTGTTAATCATTTCAATGGTCCACACGAGATGACGGTATGACCTACCTGTCTCTCACCATGTACCTGCCTACCTGAATGCACTGTGTCTGCCGTTCTAGTGCTTGCTGGCTTTAGGAATTCAGAATGCAGCCACATTTTCCAGTTCCATCTAAGCATCTTGCACTGCTAAATATACCAGATGATGGCGTCTATTTGGGTTTTTTGGGTCTCTTTGCGGTCTTGATCCTCTTCCAGTTTCATTAGAGCACCTTTGCATGTACAGTATCTGTGTACATCTTCACCGCCTGTCTGCCTGTAGCGTAATTGTGACAAAGGTTGTTTGATGATTTTTATCTTATCTTAGGTATCAAGGCAATGTAGCCTATATAGTGTGTTTTCATACATGAGACAGCTTTGAATGCATGTACTTGTCTCCCGTCAACACTCTCTGACATGGGTTAGTCTTCCAGTAAAACTCTGACAGTACACACTCGTGTGCTTTTTCAGTTGTATGCTTTAAAAATACAGTTTACTCTTTCTGGCTTTTACAGCTTTTTGTCTTCCTGTTTTGAATTTCAGGCACATGCCCATCAAAGAGCCAGCCTCCCCGACAGCACAGATGACCAACTCCAAATTAGTTCTAAAGTTGAAAGAAACAAGGTCCCAACTCCCCTTCAAAGCACAGAAGACAGATCTCACAGCCCTTCACAGCCTGCAGGCAGTCAGTGGGTCCAGAGTAAGACGAAAGCTCCAAATCACTTCCGTTCAGTGGTAGAAGAGCAGCAGCTAGACCGGCTGGAAGACTCTAATGAAGTCTTGTGTGCTGTGTGTCAGACTGGTGGAGAGCTGTTTTGCTGCAATAAGTGTCCCAAAGTTTTTCATCTCACGTGCCATGTTCCAACTCTCCTCAAGTCTCCCAGGCAAGCGCTGTCAAAATGTATTTATTGCTGGTCTCAAATGAAAATACCAGAACTCATGTCTTTTCAGTTTTATGTTTATAAATGGGTTGTGGTCCTCTGTGGAATGAAAAAAACAACAAAAAACCCTTTAGCGCTTCACAATAAGGTCGTTTCTGACAAGTTGTTTTCACATTTTGGAGGTGTGAAGTTTTCATTTGACAGCAGCATGAAACACTTGTTGTTGTATGTTTCTGAGTACTGGCTTTTGTATTGAGTCTCTGGACTGTCTCTTTTCAGCGGGGAATGGTTTTGCTCTTTCTGCCGTGACCTGTTAGCGCCTGAGATGGAGTATGACTGCAAACCTGAAGCCAAAACCGTAAAGACGGAGAAAGATCTTGAAGGAGGATTTGCTCCTGTGGACAAACGAGTTAGTGCTTTTTTTCTTTTCTTTTAACACTTCGGTAGCATTTATAAAATTATAATAATCAGAATGAGAAGTGGTTAGATTACCACAAAGTTAGGTTGAAAAGTAAATATTGTCAAGTCAGTCATGCAGTTTCCATTTTACACTTGGATTGTGAAACTAATGAACATTGTTTTGTTAATTCCATTCAACTCAATTTCAGTAAAACTTCTTAACTTTATAAATTAGAAGCAGGGTAGATCAAGATATTCATAGCAGAGTACCAACAAATATGATTATTATGACATAAATATTGTCATTAGTACAATTATGCTCCTCTCAAGTCAGAATCTATCATACAGATGTCAAACACCACACCTTACCTGTGTAGAAAAGGTAGTAGTAGTAGTAGTAGCAGCAGTAGTAGTATCTGCCCGTATGTACTTAGTGCATATAATTGTGACTTCCCTCTGTTTTCATTGTATAGAATCCCTCATCAATCATTGTCTAGCCTGGCATTCACTTTTGATCAGATGGTCTGAGTGCAGTTAATGTGTCTCAAGTGAGAGAGTAGCAAAGAGAAAGCCACTGTTGAAAAATACTCATATTAATTCTTGACTATGGTTTGGTCGAAGACACATGGGAGACTCTGAAGTCAACTGGAAGAAGGTTGTTTGGTCTAATGAGACCAAAATTGAGCTTTTTGCCAATCGGACTAGATGTTTGGCAAACACCAAAAGCTGCACATTATCACAAACACACCATGCCCATTGTGAAGCATGGTGGTGGCAGCATCATGATGTGGGGATTCTTCTCAGCACCAGGCCCTGAAAGGCTTCTAAAGGTAGAGGGTAAAAATTAGTAAATATCGAAAAATCCTACAGGACAGCCTGATGCAATGTGGTTCTGGAGTGGTTGAGTCAGAGCCCAGAAACCAATCCAATTGAGAATTTGTAGCTGGACTTGAAATGGGCTACTTCACTCATGCTCCCTGTGCAACCTGAGAGACCTTGAGCAGTTGTGAAAAGACAAATGGGGTAAAACTGCGGTCCAGATGTGCAAGGCCGATTGAGACCTATCCACACAAGCTCAGTTTTTCTTGAGCCTTACCCAGCTGACATGGTGAAAAGCAGGGTACACCCTTGATGGTTCGCCAGTGGAACCAGTTGCAACTGACTGAAATAAAGCTTGGCATGCTGCATTAAGAACAGAACTATACGTCTATTACAGCCGAGTTTTGTTTTTAAAAGAGCCGTGGGTGTGACATAAATATATAGATTCTGACTGGAGAATTACTTTCATGCATCAATCTTATTAAATGTCTGAGTTGTCAACTATACTGTTATAACTATTATCCAGGAAATATATTGTGTAGGGGAAAAAAAACATATTTGTAACAGTATGGTGGAAAATCAAATCTCAAATGCAATAAGCTGCCTGATGCTGTATTTTGCAATGATTTAACAACAGCTGATAAAACTGTGTTTGGGCTGACACAAAGCAGATCAGGGTCAGCTAAGTTTTGAAGGCAAACCTGACTAATATGATGTAGTACTTGACTTTATTACATCGGTCACTGCAGATGGGAGGACTGCATTTGGTTTCTCGGTTATCAGTTTCCAAGTCATGTGTCTTCTACCATTGCAGAAATCCGAGAGGCTTTTGCTGCACTTGTTTTGCAGCGAGCTGAGTTCAGAACTTCAAGAGCCTGTGTCCACCTCGGTGAGTCTGGAAGTATGATTGACGAGAAAGGAAAGGTTAACAGGATTAGTGTCACATGGAGTTACTGTAACTGTAATTTTAATTATATGTAATATGCCATATTTACCACTAAAGCCAGAAACATTATAAATCAGAAGCAGAGCAACTTTAATCAGATACTGTAAATATAGTCAGCTGTCTTTCCGACACAGAGCTTTCTTTTTGCTTAGACTAAGTGGATAAATATAGAGAATTATAGAGTATAAACTGAACATTACAGCATATATAACATATTTCTGCTCAAGCACTTGACCAGAGTCCAATTTTGGTTTGAAACAACTCTGTTTATCATGAACACTCGCATAACAAAACAGGGTAAAAATCTATACCCTGTTGTACACAATGCTAACTTGTAATACTTTATAAATGCCGTGATTCTACTTCAACATCTGTCCATGAAGTTTTATTGTTTAATTATCTCTCCCTTTCTAAATACTGTAGGTATGTGCTAATAACAGGCTGGCCGTAAAGCTACCAATGAATCTTTCCACTGTGAAAAGACGTCTGGAGGCTAAGCAGAGTCTGTGCTACCAAAGCACTGCAGAGTTTGTGTCAGACATCAGGCTTGTATTTGGGAACTGTGCAGTTCTCAGTGAGGTACTGTAGACAGAATTGTTTTCAAAAAGCTCTTTCTCCTGCATTACTCACTTCTTGACACCTGGTAATATACTGCTTTCTTCTTTTCCTTGATTTTCTTTCTATACCAGGCTGATGCCGAAATCACCAAGACATGCAGGAAACTTGAAGAGCTGTTTGAAGAATGCCTGAAGCTCATCTACCCCGACCAAACCTTTCCAGACATTAAAATGGAGATAATGCCTACTTCCCTTCCTGAATTTCAGCTCTCACCTCCTGACAATATGCCACAGCTTGCAAAGCGTCAGCACACATGTTCAGACTCCCAGGATACACCAAGCTATCCCAGTGGAGAGGAGGGCGTTGCGTGAAAGCACAAATCTTCCCCATCGTTTCGATATTTAACAACACTGCCAGACAGCACCAGATAATATGTGGTGTGGAACACTTTATTACAAACATTTGTGATACGCAGTTACCTTCAGGTCACCAAAAATGTTTTATATGTTTAAAAATTAAATTGTACAGCAAGCAAAGACTGTCGGATGCATGATATAGCACCCTTAATTTATTCTATTTTCTGGAATAAACAGCATTAAAGCTGTTGGATTTAGTGGATTTTCCATCTCTGACTGAAGATTAAAACTTGAATTCATGCAGAAAGTACATAGTGGACATGTGTTTTCAGGGTATCTGACTATTACGGGGTCACGTCTGCTAAGAGTCAACATCATCATTGGTAGTTAGCACAGAAGCTAATGAGCTAACAGGTAGTATGGTCAGGTTTGGTGTGTTTTTCCGGATAGGGTCTTCTTTTGTAAATATAGCTGTAGTTAGACACAGGATGATAATCATGAGCCTAAGTGTTTGTGATTTATCCAATGTGGCACCAACAGTAAATGAAAAACTCAAAGGAAATGAAAGTTGTTTGTTAAAATACCAGACTGTATGAATTTTTACATGTTCTAATTTCTGAATTTAAAAAAAGTACAGTAGAACGATAAATGTACATGTCATGTGTCATTTTATTTATTAATTTATTTATTTATTAGAATTTATTTGGATGTTTATTTAAAGAAATACACATTTTTAGATATCATTGTGAAGAACCAAGCACAGTGCCTATGTTATAATATGTGATAGCCTGTTTTTCAGGATTGTTTTGTTTCCATAAAATGCTTTCTTATACATGCACAGCATTGTCAAATGTTTTCTCATATCAAACATCAACAACATTGAGCCATAAGCCTACTTGCATTTAAGTCAGCTTGCAGGTATTAACAGGGTAGAATGGAATAAAACTGCTTAATTTTTAGTAATGACTCCGGGTAATAATTAATACATACATTTCATCTTGGAACCCAATGGTATTTGAATCTGTCCCACTTTAACCCTATTCAGGGCTTTCATGTTGCCATAAGTAGAAGAAATATGTGCAAAATATTTGTTGGTTTTCATTATAGACTTTCATACTATGTTGAATAAATTTTCTGATAAGTTGACGTATTTTTGGTTCCAAATGCAAGACAAATGTCCCTCTTTTTATATTAAAAAATAAAAAAATTAAAAATCTTCATAAATAAAAAAAAACAGTACCTGTCACCTAAACCATGGCCTAAGGTCAAAAAGACCCCAAAGTCCTGAATAGGGTAAAAAAAAAAAAAAAATAACTAATGTCACCCTCTTTTCCAACTTCAACTTTGCAGTTGAGTGAAGCCACTTTGTTTTTTAAAAAGTGTTGTGCTGAAAAACCGTGAACCCAGGTCCTTTTGGGCCCCACAGTCTGCCTGGCTCTGTTAGTGGCCCTCTGCAGATTGACACAGATGTGGCAAGACAAGCTTTGTTGAGCTTCAAAGGAACTGTACTGCACCCCCACAACAAGATTAACACTGTTTGAATGCGACCTCGGCCACTCCAATTTCCTCCACCTGTGAGCTAGAAGGTCAGTCCGTGCTGCTGTTTCTTGTTAAAGCCTGAACGTAGATTGGAGCTGGAGAGGTGGAGCGAGGGCTTGCAGTTTCTGGAAGTTGGCCTTAGATGTTCACTGCAGCCAGCCGGCCAACTTTGGAGCCTGGCACTGGTCTGGCTCTCATTTAGGACATTCTTCATTCCTTATATGGCGTATTATCTTTTTTCCACATTGCGGCAGGCAAAGATAAGATAAAGGACAGGTCAGCAGCAGAGAGGTGTTCTTTGTTGTTGTGATCACTGTTACAGTTCAGAGAGAGTTTCCACAATCCACGACTGATAGGTGACTGCAGGAACCAAGTCTGCACTGCTATAGTAACAGTCATTCACGTCAATGCTTAGCATCACAATTCAATCAAGTGTTTTTAATCTTTTAAAGTGTTTTTCTTCTTTTCTAACAGGAACATGCAAGAAGCCTGCTGAAGGTAAACCATTGCAATAAACACCATGTCTACTTTTGTTCTTGTCAAGGTTATATTGCTGTACTGTAGTGAGGACATTGTAAGTGCAAACTGACTCAGAAAGTGTGAAGTTTTGCATCTGTAATGACAGAAAAATAAAAACAGACACCATGTTTTCTATGATGGATTACCTCCACACACAAACTCTGCGAGCTCATTTCCACACCATAGCCCACTATAGGCTAGGTTTTTAGAGTTGTTTTTATTAGAATTAAAAGGCATCCTGGTTATAAATGCTGAAAAAGGCACAAGTATTTTCTGAATAAGAGATAAACTCACATAAGATTCAGTTTAAATCCCTTCCCTCGGTAGCCAACGCTGCAATAGTGGTACTGCATAATGAAATGAATGGAGGCAAGTGACTAGTCTGGAAAGTACAAATAACATTCTCAAACGCATATCATGCATTTTAATGGGGCGAAACATGCAAAACATTAGCTTGGTCTATTAAGATGTGGTCGTATAGAAAGATTGTCAGCGGAGTACAATTACCATCAGGAAATACAGACTGTGGTGGACCGAGAAGCAAAGAGATTAAGACACCACTGGTTACACACTACACTTTTAACAGTGCAGTTATCCATTTATAACTGTCATATAATTGTGGGCTTTCCTGTATGCTTGTGGTGTCCCGATATCAAGTCCTCAGTGATGTTTCTTGACTGGCTAGACTGGTGGTGGAGACATATGGCTCTGATTAGAAGATCATTTAACCTCTCTCTGTCACCATGCCCAGAGTCAGTAGACTGATTGAATTTGCAGAGAGCCTTAGTTGGTACAAAATGTTTATAATGCAGTCTAGCAATTATTTCTGCACCTCTTGCCAAATCCGGTAGACTTGTGTGTGTGTGTGTGTGTGTGTGCATCCATGTATGTCTGTGGTTTGTTTATGCCCGGCCCCTTCTCACAGCTCATGATCACTCTGGCAGTTGGTGAGCCCACATCTGTGGCACAGTTACAAAAGCTTTAATTCATTAACTTTATTGGAGAAAACACAGGCTCAGCAGTGGGCCTAAAGGGACCTGTGATACCACTGCACACATACAGTATTCATAAAGGAAGGATGCAGTAGCACAGGCTCCAATTTGACATCCAATCTCAAATCTAGCCGAGAATAACCGTGAGTGATTTGAAGAGAGTATTTGTTTTTGGATTCCCATTATTTCGTCTCCCTGTGATACCCAAAAGGTTTTCGAGGCTTACAGTCTGGACATAGCCGCAACACATTTTAAAAATACCCCAAAACCAGCTCCAGATGTTGAATAATCACTACAATCATTAGTCACAGACAGAAAAAGTCTACCCTGCCATTGATGGGGAGACAATTTCCATGTGTGCACGCATACTTCACGGCACAGTAGCACAAAGACACTTGCAAATCCTAATGTAGGCTAAAAAATATGACAGCCCACAACTCCCAGGGCAGTATTTTAGGGTCTTCTAATTTCCAGCACGCATAAATATATCAGTCATCTCCAATATTTTAAAAGGAGAGGTCATTTGCAAATTCCTGTCAGAACATATAGTGGTGATAAACTTCAGTAGAAGCTCACTTATGGGTGGAATGACTTGTAATCTGCAAATTCTAAGGCAAATATTTTCAATTGCATTAACAAAAAAAAGTAATTTGTGTTTTATGAGGAGAAAAACTCTTTTTGATTAGGAATAAGTGTGCGTCTGTGGCCCCAGCCCGCCCCTCACGGTGCCATAATTAGACGCTCATTCCTCCAGTCACGCTGCAACTGCGCCTCTCGACTCCATCCTTTTTCTCATTCTCCTCTCATCTTTTTTTTTGTCTTTCTTTTTTTTTTTTTTTTTTTTTTTTTGAAACGAGCACCGCTGTTTATTCACACGTCCCGCAGAACAAGCAGCGTCGGACAGTCCAGCGAGCTTCCAACACATTTTTTAAACCGCCACTTTCCAGCTCGATCCTTCTGCTCATTCAATGGCTCTGTGCGCGCTGCTGCTCTGCGCTCTGGTCGGAGTCCTGCGTGGCCAAGGTAAGTTACCTTTGTGTGAGAACTTTTAAATGAAGACAGACCCCAAGTACGTGTACATTTTGTGTGTGGTACTGATTTTTTAACATTTTATATTGCATGAGGACTTTTTTGCTATGAATTTGTCGAGGTCTTTCCAGCATGAATCAAACAGATAACAGACAAAGAGTGAGATCAGGGGAAGTGATGCATTTGTCTTGACTAGTTGGGGCATGTGATGAAAGCACAGTTTACAGAGCTGGTTGCTTCAAAGTGTTGCAGGTCTGTGCTGAAATGAAGTCATGTTGAAAATTCCCTTTATTTCTTTACACAGTGATTAAAACACACACTCACACAATTACAGCTTTAGAAGTATGATATTTTAATTAGTTATTGTTTTTTTTTCCTGCCTTTATTATTTCCATAATATAATGTATGCATGAAGTAATTTTTAAACACTGCATTGTGTAGGACAAAACTTCCAGTGTTCCTCTACATAACTTGAAAATGTCATGCCAAGAAGTGTTATTCAGTTTGTGCCACAGCCTCCATTCACTTTGATCTATAGACTTCACATGGAGAGTGTTAACATGCAGTTACATATAGATGTGAAGTGAGGGTTCTCGCTGCCCACTGTTTCTGTACTTTCTGCCCCGCAAGTCAAAGGCCAAGTGCCTTGGTATGCCGTGATGCTATGTTAGAAACACCAGTGTCTCAGCAGCACAGGACGGTCTAGACAGACGGGCGTGATTTATACTTGAACAGGGTCACCAAGGCGTAGGAAGAGCCGTGTCCAAATGCTCCTGGTCCTCTGGTCACACATGGGGCAATTTTCACAGTCGGCAGGGGCACTTTTCTCTAAGCTGCCCTCTTTGTAGGGGGTCAGCTTTGAGTGCAATTCAGGTAGGTCTCAGCTCTGACAGTTATTTTAGCAAAATTCTCACCAGTGTGTCATGTGTCATGGACTTGTTTGAAGTAGGAATAAGACATTAGAATTATTATTATTAGAATGGATAGATAGATAGATAGATAGATAGATAGATAGATAGATAGATAGATAGATAGATAGATAGAATGACTGTGTGGGTGGATAACGCGTGCCTCCACAACAGCCTTTTTATATCAAGACTGACAGAAATGTCCAAATAAAAGCCTTCAGTGCAGCCTCTGAAGGAGATGCACACTTCTGTTGTGATGTCTGGCTCGGGCCAGCTACTCTGTCTGGGCGGAGCTCCACCACTGGGCTCATTAAGCCTTGTTTACATGAGGCGTCTAGACGCAGGCGAGCCATGTGCAGCTCTGCCAAGACCGAATGGCCCTCACAACCAGCAACGTCATCCAAAATGGAAATTAGCCCCTTCTCCTCCAGACAGACAATGCATCACAGAGACAGACAACCCATGGCAGACTGTATCTAAACCAGAGCACGACTGTGCCTGGTTTTACTTCTTTTGATAAAACTCAAGAAGCCACGCAGCTCCGAGGCACTTCTGCTCTTTCAATTTAGGTTTGCAAAGCAGCAGACAGCGGTGGCATTGGAATGATTGTGTGATGCCTGGTGGGTTAGAGTTGGTTATCAGCAGAGAGCTACTGTGGGGAGAAAACTCCAAAGCAGATCACTGGGAGCTGACTTGTGACCAACTATTCCTGTCACTGAAAATATACTGACTGTGGCGCTGGAGAGACAGGAATAAGGATTAGTTATTTGGTGGAGTCTGGAAAGGTACTTCTTGGATGCCTTTCCAGTTTGAACACAAAATTGCGTGTTTTGGCAAGAGGATGTAAATTACTTGGACAACGTATACAGAGTTGGGAGAATTGCTTTATCAGGGCATTTCACTTTTGGTCATTAACACTTTAATATGAGCGTTTAATGGTGTGCAGTGCAACTTTATATTCATATTATCAGCTTCTTGTAGGAAAACACTGGAACTTTAACATTCAGAGAGAGTGAAAAAGGAGGGCTAGATAGATAAATGGAGAGAGAAAGAGAGTTTAAGTGGTTCTGCTTGGTAGGTCTATGAGAAAAGCTTTTAAAATGCCATTTCATTTCATCCAGCTGCTACAAGGTTTATTGGGCAGAGGATACTGGATGTGCCAGACTTCCAGAAGTCAGCAGTGAGTCAGCTAATGTGGCTGTCTAGTAATAAATCCTGTATCCATGATTACTCCATTCTGCCATGCTTCGTGCAGTAGCAGTGGTGTTTTAATTCCGTGCTTTGTTTCTCTGGAACCTGACTCACTTTCTTTAGAAACCGCACATGCCAAATATGATAAACTCTTAGTCATTGTTATGTCTTACCCATACTTAGTTATGGGCTGCAGAACTGGGGTAATTTAAACCCTTTAGCTGTTGTGTAGATGTATTGTTAGGCTTGCATTGTGTTGCTGAAAAGCTTATCAATATGGAGACTGATAATGACTATTCCTGCTTTTGCCTCAGCTTGACTAGTTTGATTTAGGGGTTATAATAAAATTCCTCCTGCCCCTCTGGGAGAAAGCAGCAGATCTATAAAACTGAGGACTGCTATTCCAGACACTTGTCCTCCCTAACTAATCTAACTTATTATCTAAACTTGCACACTCCTGCTAGACTTCTCCCAGCAGACATTGTGTCTCAAACAGATGGCTTTGTTCAGTGCATTTCACAATCACCATTCCCACTCATTCAGAGCATTTAGTCACTAACCAGCAACAACTCATATTCTGTTACACTGGATCAACAAAATTTATTTCACGGTGAGTTTGTTTTCTCTTTTTTTTTTCTCTTGGGAAACTTATTTTTAATAACAATTTGGCTTACTGATGCTGGTTTGAGCTTTAGGCAAAAAAAAAAAAAAAGTCCAAGAAGTCGATCTGCCAAAGCTATTTCACGTTTGGCAGATCACACAAACCACAGGCGAATGAATGTACTTGATGGGATTGCGATGGCTGATTGTTTACAGAGTCGAGGCATTCCACACTCTCTAATCCGCATGTATAAACAGCCAGATCACCACAGAGTTGGTTGTGCTCCAGTCAAAAAGCGTCTCTTGTGTCTGCAACAACATATTCATCATTCATTGTCTTTGGCAAAAAAAAAAAAAAAACCCTAAAGGCTGTTTAAATTGTCAGACAGATTTTAAATTTTGTTTTTCCATCTTTCGCGGAATAATAAGCAATTTGCCTTAAAGCACAATGGAAAGATCCTCTTTTGTTTGCTCAAGATTATCTTTATTGTTGCATGAGGGCAAATGCAGTGAGTTCCCATAATGACAGAAAACAAAGAGGCAACATCTACAATAAATTATAAAAAAAAATAACCAATGAAAGGGAAACTCATGCCAAGCACAAACATTCATCAGTGCTAATGCAAATGTGTGCAGTTGTGCCAAGGTTATGCAAGAAATACAGCCAGTGTGTTAACTGCCATTAAGGCGTGTCAATAGCACTTGGGTTGAAAGAGATGTGGTGGCTGTTAGTCGTCCAAACAGGTGCCCTGAAAGGAGCCTGGGGGCAATAACTCAAACTTCCAATGCAGAGGATGGTTCCGGCTGTCCAATATGGCACTACTCCTAAGAACCTGCCTCTTACAAATGACCAAAAGCTCCTCCATTAGATCTTACGTCTAACAAAACTTCACATTTGGACAATTTTTGGTTTTTGAACCAAGCAGTGAGGCAAAAGTTCCAAACAGATTCAAAGAAACTTCTGCAAAAGAGATTCATCATGTCAGTAGAGATGCTACAAGAGATAATCGCAGGAAATTGTCAGAAGTAGATCCAACATGGGATTCAAAGCATGGTTTGTTGTCAAGAACAACGGGTTAGACAGACAAACGTCTTTATGCTTGATCATAAAATATTACTCGTGATGCCATTTGATGTATTTTGCGTGTCATGAACAAGTGGATTGATAAGCGAGCAGTCTCAAGGCGGGTGTGTTTAAAGTCCTTCTGTATGTGCAGGCAGGTGTATTAAGTAAAGATGCAGCAGTGCTCCATGTGGGATCTACACATCTCCTGCAGTGATTGTGACAAATGCCACACATGAAAATGACATCACGACAGTGCAGAGCGATCATTTACACTTTTCAAACTGCTTTTTTTGTGTTTTATTGTCATTGTTCGTGTGAGCAGAGCAAATCACCATAGAGGACTGCTGTAAAGATGGCCAGAAGCGTGGCAACGATAACGAAGACTGTGCCGCCCTTCCGCTCATTTCGGGGTCAGCCACATGCAGGTAAACAGGTGCTGTCTGGTACTTTGCTCTCAGTGGTTCCAGATGTATGTTTTAGGAGGGCTGTTTAGAGGATTCACCTGGGGCTTTTTCAGATTTACAAGTCATTAAATATTGCTCCTTTTGTCACAATCTTACATTTTCTGTTTGCACTTCAGAAGCTCCTGCAGTATTGGCTCCAAGGGATTTGGCCTTTACCGTGTATGAGGGAAATGACTGCAGGCCCTTAATATGAGATTACTTTACCTTACTCCCATAAATCTCTAGGCACATTATTCACTTCACGTGAGAGCAGGAAACACTAATAGTGATGGGATAATAACAGGCCTGCTGGTAACCCTAGAAGGTGTACTGCCACAGGTTCAGGGCACATGAGCCAGGGCGATCTGCTGCTGCGAACACTGATGGCAAACACATTTACCATAGCCACCCTAAGTGATCCCAAATTTGTCTAAATTATAGTGTGAGGGGAAGAAAGGGAAAAGGGCAGGGATTTGTGGGGGAGCGGGGTGTATTTGGGGGGGTGGAAAAGGGGAGAAGTGGGGGGATCAGAAGAGGGGCTGTTTCAAAACCCAGGAAATACCTTCGAGGTGAAACGCGACATAGAGGAGGATGGAGAGAGGCAATAACAGGAAATCTGAACGATTACTTCAGACACCAAAGGGGAAAAAAAACGAAGGGAGAAAAAGAGAGGAGAAAAAAGAAAAGAAAAACAGGAGCGCGAGTGTGCCCTTAAAAGGTTCTGCAGAGGGAGGTGTGTGCCTTGACGTTGAATTTGAGATCTAGAATAGTTTATGTGGAAAGATATTTCTGGTAAAGGTTGATAAAGGGGTTTGTTGGAAATGAGAGCGGAGAGGTGAGGGGGTGGTTGTTTTATGCTTTCTGTCTTGTAAAACTGCAGTGAGACGGGAGATCCAGAGCAGACTAAAACAGTCAGCCTTTGGTAAAAGACTGGACTGCACCGACAAACAACAAATGCCAGATAATACAATGAAACTGGACATGAACTGAAGAGTTACGAAGCTGATATTTTGATAGTGGCGCTCCCATATGAGGGGCTGTTTTTGTCCAAAATATTGCTCTTGACGTTTAACTTATCAACGTGTCACCCGCTTTATGCTCATTGTAATGTTTTATAACCCATGCGTGGCATTTCATCACCGATTTCTGAGGAAATCTTGCACTAACTCTGCCCTGCTGATGTCACTGACTGCAAGAAAAGCAAATTTACTGGCAACAGTTAGTCACCAAAATATTGCCCAACTGTTCTCCATTCTTACAGGATGTAGCGTGCTTATAATAAGGGAGTATTTAAATAATTTTTTTTTTAGCGATGTTATTCTAAAATTCAAAAAGCCACAATCCCACTGGGAGCAAAGAGATGTAGAGGTGGACAAAACAAACTAGGGACAGGAATGTTGGTTTAAACTGGGGCCGAAAAAACAACAGAACAAAGGCCTCATGTCGCGCCGCTAAGGGCCCGCGATGTCTGCTTTGCAAAGCACAATAAACTTGCAGCGCCCTCCTCTGAACCCACTCAGGAACCCACTCATCCACGCATTTTTTAGTGCGACGCGAGATCCCCGTCAGCCTTGCCTCGGGCTGATTTTAATGGGCTGCACTTTAAGGCAGAGCTGCTTTGCTGCGAGGAGATTATTGAACAGGCTGAGAATAAATGCACCACCTGTGTTTTGTGTTTTTTGTTGTTGTTGCTTACAGGATAGTGCAGGAGCAGTGCTGTGTAACGGTGCTTGAAGATAACATGTGCACCACTGGTATCAACATGGCCAAAGACCAGAGTGCCTGCGATTCTTTATTCACCAACACCTGCGAGACCAAGACTACAAAGGTGCGTTCCTACCAGGATGTGCACACGCATATGTCCGTCTATAAATGCTGCAGTAGCTGAAAATGCTGGAAACTGAGACAAAATAGACCACTGTGTGAACCCAGAGTCTGTATGTATGTGGTCAGTGGACAGCACATCGCTCCGCTGGACAGCCAGTTTGAAAGCCAGTGATTGATTAGAGCAATGGAATATATCTCTATGTGCTTTTGCGTGTGTGCCGTGAGCAGGATGAGGCATGTCACTCCAGGGAGGAATGGAGCTTGTTGCTGTCAGATAGATTATAAATTCAGCTCCGACTCTAGAATCATTCACAGGCTCACAGCCAAGCACTTTTCAGCCTTTCTACATTTTTATTCCTTCTCAACCGAACCCTCCGTGCCCCTTTATTTTCACAACAAACTGCACATCAACACATCGCAAAGATAAATGCCTGGCAAAAAAAAAGGGGATGTGCAATTTGATGCAGTTGATTCGAAGGGTGAGATAATTATCAGTGGGGCAGCTTGTCTTCACTTGATGAACTGGGAGGTGCAGGTGGTGGCTTGTGCTCGAGTGAACTCAGGTAAGGTGAGTATTAAACAAAAGATTGATAACAGGACAAGAGATAATGGTACAGTCGAGTTTGTCTGCGCGTTAATCAAACGAATCAAAGGCATCTTCAGAATGAAAGTTAGTCCCCACCTGAAACCCTCGATGACATAGAAGAAAAACAATCACCAAAGTATTTAAGAACCACTTCCGAACCATTACAGACATACGCGGCCTCTGAAGGAAACATGCTTCTTTGTGTTTGAGTTCCACTGTATTTTGCTTTTCCTAAAGGGCTACAGGAAGGGAGTTTATTAGCTTAGCTTAGCACAAAGGCTGGAGCAGACGGAAACGCCCCATGGCTCTGATCTACCCACCAGCCGCTCTACGGTTTACTAAGGCCAGTGTTATGGTTTTAGCGTCCCGACTTCCCATGTCTGCAAAGGTTCACGCAGGATTCGTTGCAGACCTCAATATGCAGCTCAAATTTTGTGCTGCTAAACGGGCAGTAGTGTACATGCTCGGCAGAAGTGTGTGTTATGCATGCATGCACCAGAATCCTCCAAGCAGGTATAATCAAGGCTTTACACTCATCGGCCATAACATTAACGTCACCTGCCTACTACTTTCTCGGTCCCCCTCGTGCTGCCAAAACAGCTCTGAACCACAGAGGCATAAATTTCACAAGACTTCTAAAAGCGTGCCTGTGGTATCAGGCACCACGAGGTTAGCAGCAGGTCCTGGAATTCCCAGAAGTTTCAAGGTGGAGCTTCCCGTGTTTTTCCAGGCCATCCCACAGACACTTGATGGGATTAAGATATGGAGATCTTGGAAGCCGACTCAACACCTTGAGCTGTTTTCCCTTTTCCTTAAACCATTACTGAGCAATTCTTGCAGTGTAGCAGGAAGCATTATCCTGCTGAAGGAGATCACTGCCTTTAGGGACTATCAAAGGGGTGCATGTGGTCTAACTAACATCCACATAAATGCCAGGACCCCAAGGTTTCCCAGCAGAACATTGGCACACTGTCTCCGCCAGCTTGCCCTCCTCCCGTAATGCCCCTTACTGCTATCTCTTCCTGAGGTAAATGAAGCACACACACACCCAGCTGTCCACATGATGGTGAAGAAAATGGGATTTATCAGTCCAGTCCACTTTCTTCCATTGCTACGAGGTCCTGTTCTGACAATCATGTGCCAATCATAGACACCTTCGCTGGTGGTCAGGGGTCAATGTTGGCACCTGACTGGTCTGCAGCTACACAACCTCATGCACTGAAAGCTGCAATGTACTGACACCTTTCAATCATAGCCAGCATTTGGATTTTTAGCAATTTGTACTACGGTTGCTTTCCTTCTGTGGGATCAGACCACACAAAATATTTGGTGTTATTCTCTTAACCTGTTGTAGCTGATGATCGGTATATCTAACTTTGTTCACAAAACAGTTCAGAGAAAGACAAAACAGCTCTGTGGAGCTGGAGGGACCTACATCATTCTATGTAGGTTTATGGTGTGTCAAAAAATATGGATTCTAGTTGCTTTAAATGCTGTATTTTTCCCCCATTGATTGGTATATGTTAATTAGTTTTATTCATTTCAACCAATTTTCTGAGATTGCCCAGTTAGAACTTCAGTAATATTTGTACTCAAGGCCACATGTTGCTTGTGGAACAATTTGATAGAGATTTTAGGCTCATTTGTTGTATAGTCTGCAATCACATCACAACAATAAACAAGACGACTGTGAAGCAATGCAGATGAACACTAAATAAACAGTGGCTGTGGGCTGAGGTATTTAAAACAGGAAGAGAATGCTTAGTTGTCCTTGTAAATGCAACTGTTTGCGTGTTTTCCCCGAAGTGGTCAAAATCTGATTACTCTAAGAGTCTTTCTTAAGTAAGCTTTTTGCATTTGAAATCAGGACGTACATTTGTTGTTTTCATTTGTTTGTTGCCTCGGGAGACATCAGTTTGCCTGATTTCTCTGAGATCATGTTTTGAGTCAAATTTATTTATTCTCAGGGGCTAAGGCAGTTTATGATTGTGCAAGTTTCAATAGCAGCATAGAAATAAGCACAAGGAACCAATGATTACATTTAAAGTGGTGATAATGATCATTGCAGCACTGTTTCATTACGGGTAAAGCTGTGGAAAACTACATACTTGTACCATATGACTGCTTGTAGTGTGATCAAGTGGCCCAACACAACCACTGCATGTTGTTTCAATACAATAATTCAAGAGAACTATCCACGCCACTGTAACACCAACAGCTGATGTCAGTTTGAGTTGCATTTGGGATATATTTCTTTCTTTGTAGCTGAACAACAGTACCCGATCAGAAATAGTTTACTATGCTGGGTATCTCAACCAACCAGATTAAACCTTCTAAAACTCGTTCTTGTAGCTCCCCACACCAGCAATACACAGTATTATTGGTTGAGTGAATATACTGCCATACAAATTTGTTTTTATGATGCATTATGACACAGTTTAACAGCTGTGGTGAAAAAAAAGGTAATACTCTGGGGAACATCATCAGCTCTCTGTCCCTCTAGCTATGCTCTTAATTTTCTGCCTTGAACATGAAAAGAATTGCACTGCAACATCCATCCATCCATCATCTATACACCGCTTAATCTTCACTAGGGTCGCGGGGGGTTGGAGTCTATCCCAGCTGACTGAAGGTGAAGGCAGGGGACACCCTGGACAGGTCGCTGGCCTATTGCAGGGCTACACTTAGAGACAGACAACCAAGCACACTCACATTCACACCTATGGACAATTTCGAATCACCAATTAACCTCAACATGTTTTTGGACTAGTGGGAGGAAGCCAGAGAACCTGGAGAGAACCCACGCTGCACGGGGAGAACATGCAAACTCCACACAGAAAGATCCCGGTGCCCCCATCGGGATGCAAACCGGCGACCTTCTTGTTGCACTGCAACATGTTCTTGGTTTTTCCACATTGCCACAGTTTACCTACATACTCTATGTATGGTAGACAATGACAGCAACACAATGCTGAAGTCTAAGAAGCCTAACAACTGTAACAAACATCACAAAACAGGTTCAGTACAGTGCAGTGATTTAGAAAATCCAGCAAATGCAATAAATGGCAATCGCAAGAATCTCAAAAGGCATACAAGGGCTTGTTTTACCGTTATGATCTGAAAAAATGCCGCAAACATCCTTTTAGACTTATGCAGGGTGTAAAAAAAATGGAGATTGTTTGTTTACAATTAGAAAACTGAAATAATATATGACAATATATGATAGAAATCTACTCAAAACTTCCTCAGGCTTGTTTGTATCCTGTATGGTTCAGATCCCTAAATATATTTCTACGTGTGAATCAGTGCAGAACAGTTCTTTCTGGGTAAGAACACAAATACGAAGCGAAATTGGTTGCAGGAAACATGAAAGTTATGGAATCGATTACTTGATATGGAGGAAGGCAGGATGACAAGAGGAATATTTATTTTGGATAAACAAAAGATTGTCTCTGAGGCAGAAGAAGTGCGTGCACTGTTCCAAACTCTAGGTTTGTTCTGTGTTTTCTCAGATTAAAGGGCAGTGGGCTGGTGATGCATGGATGGCACAAAAAACTGTGTACACTTAGGATGATGAAGAATGATTCTGGCAGTGAAAATTATGTTGTATGTAATTTGTACCTTTTCTGCTCAGTTTGGAAGAACACAAGCAGATTTGTTTAATGTGCTGTCTGAATCATGTAGCAAAAGAGCTCCATTTGATTTTCTATTGTGTTCATCAGGAAGTGCACAATAGTTTGTTTAGTCAGATAATAAAAAGATGTTGACTGTGTAAGTGGGATGATACGCAAAGACAGAGTTGCCTGTTTACATGTGATACGTGCATTAGACGGTTACTAGAACAAAGCCTGGTAGTCAGAGAAGAAAAGACCTTATCAGTGTAAGATGCTTTCATGTTTTTCTCTGTGAACTGTATTCAGGATAGGACATCTTTGTGTTTGTGTGGGCACATTTTATGTTTGAACATTTTTGAACATGCAAAGCTCTAGATTTTATCCATAGACTGTAGATAAAAGTGGATGAACCCATGAGCTTTTGAAGCTCAGTGTGGCCACCCTGACAGCACCGTACTCCTCCTGACTCCCGGCTAATCCAAAAATGAGAAAAGAAGGGGAGTTGGAGTGAAGCTGAGGTGGGATATGTACAAGGTGTGTCAGAAAAGTTTCAGGACTGGTGTCACAAAAGATATATTTCAAATCCAAATTACAAACTACAAGTTTTCTCCTTCCAAGTAATACCCCTGGAGTCTAACACACGTTCCCAGCCTTCTCTGCCACGCCGCCATGCACTCCTGGAAGGATTCTTCTGGGATCCTCTGCAGCTCTGTCTTCACAGCCATCTTGATGTCGTCCACGTCTTCATAACGGGTCCCCTTGATGACCCCCTTGAACTTGGGGAAGAAGAAAAAAATCCCACGGAGCCAGGTGGGATGAGTAGGGAGGTTGCTTCAGCATGGTGATGTTCTTCTCAGCCAGGAACTGTCGGATGCTCAGGGCATTGTGAGCAGGCGCGTTGTCATGGTAAAGCAGCCACGACTTGTCCTGCCACAACTCTCGCCTCTTCTCTGAACTGAACGAAGCAAATGGCGCAGGATCTCTTTGTAGACGTGCTGGTTGAAGGTCTAAAGGGGAAAACTCATAGTTTGTGGTTTGAAATACATCTTTTGTGACACCAGTGCTGGAACTTTTCTGACACACCTCATAGGCATCTCTGGGACATGGACTGTATCATGACAGGACCCAACTGTCATTTAATGCAGCCATGACCCTAATTAGGAACAACTTTAAGCCCTAATATATATTTAAACGAGTGAGTTTATAAAAATGTACCCATATGCAGTTGTTATGAATGCTAAAAGTAGCTATAGAGACCAAAACCATTTTTTGTTCCAGACCCTAAACATGTTTATTTGTTCTGTAAAGTTTGCTATTTTAACACTATGGGAATTGACTCGCTTTGGAGCCAGCCTCATGTGGCCATTTTAGTAACTGCAGTTTTTGACAGTTCCACACCGGCTTCGTATTTTAGCCCTGCAGGTCGCTGCTTGCTTTTATCCAGTTCCTACTATTCACAGTCTATTCTGCCCTTGAAGTTTTCCTTTCCTCAAGTTTCCTAGAACCTGAAAGTTCTTGGAAAACTTGTCGGACTGGAGTGTTCTAGCACAGAGTCAAGGCTGCACAAACATGTACCCACACATAAACAAACAAACACAGACAGCAGGTAACCGCCACTGCTACTCCACTGTTAAAGCTATAGTCTTTGGCAGTCAGTTGTGCAGTCACTATCATAACAGCACAGATACAGTTCATACTATCAGATTTCAGGTGTATACCAGCGTTCCTCTAACTGAAGGTATCCCATCCCCCCACACTCTGCACCTTTCTCCTGACATTACCAGGTTGTCAAAATGATTGATTGAGCATGCATCAGCCAGAGGGGATGATGTCATCACATCACTGTCTGTCTGACCGTCTGTATGTTTTTCTTAAGGACTTAGTTCTTTTTTTTATTTTATTTTTTAGTCCTGTCTGTCTGTCTGTCTGTAGCCTGTCAGGTTGTGTGTCTTCTCAGTCAGCCTCCTTTTCTGTCCATCTTGTTGATTGAGAGTTCGGCTGTCTGGCCATCTAAAGCACCTCATTCTCATTTTTCACGTACAAAACGCTTTCTGATCTCCCCACTGTATTTTACCAACCAGCATGTCACACAGCAACCTTATCTTCCTTGTCTTCATGGTTTTACTTCTGCTGGTACATGAATTCCAGGCAATGTTTTTTTCCTCTCCACTCCTAGAATTTACTTGCTATGCAGTCTAATTTTTTTAATTGTATTTTGTTTTTCGTAGATGTGCTGTGACTGTTGTCTCCTGGGGAAGGCAGCCCAGGAGAATGGCATATCCTGCGACCACAACCTGTCCGTGGGCTACCAGTGCAGCCTGGTGTCCCGGGCCTGCTGTGTGGATGGAGCCTCGGACAATCAGACAGCACCCACACCCCAAACTGAATGTGGGTAAACATATTCAAACTGAAGCAGGCAGGCGTTTGTTTATAATGAAGTGGTTGGTTTATTTTTCAGTAGGGTTGAAAAAGCAAAATACAGGGGAGAAAAAAAAATGTGTATAATCCCAAGAGGATGCTTAGGTGAAGAAACGTAAGGTCACACTGCCCCCTGGTGGATGCATATTGTCATTGCTTGATGTTTTTTTACTAGAGGTGGATACGTTCAAGAGAGAATTTCACCTTTTGGCTCATACCTGAATACAAGCTGTTCAGGTTGAACAGTAACTGTAGGAGTTGCACATAATCAGTATGTTAGTAGCAGACACAAAAATTGTAAAAATAAAAACAAACAAACACAAAACAAAACCAATCCAGATGAGTTTCATTTTGAATAGAAATGAAATCTAATGTCTGATTTTAGGCATGTACATGCTGAAATAACATTTATTGATGCAGTCTAATTTGTTAAAGATCACAAATGATTTTTATTTTTTTTTTTAAGTGAAGGAAGCAATCAATACCATGGATGAGCATTTCCTTCTTGAACTTGCAGTGTACTGATGACAGTCTCAAAATCACAGACCAAGACTTCCAGGATTTATTTCATATATATGTCTACCATAAACCAAAGAAACAAATTCTGTCAGCTTGTGGGGTTAAGATTTTTAAATCATTGTGAGTCTTCAGAGTTGGTGTCTGCTTTGAACGTGTCGGCCCAAATTACTCCAATACTTGAACTTGTTATTTTGTAAATGTAGAGTAGTTTCACAGTGTAGGTGAGCTGCTGTGCTCCAGCTACTGGGTGGAGATAAAAGTGAGAGCTTCATAGATCTGCATAGAGCAACAGTGTAGACTTACATCTAAGCCATTTTAACTTAAAGGGACTTTTAATACAACAAAACAACAACAAAAAAACAACTACAAATGCCATTTAACACGTGGAGATAAAGTTTTATGAGTGAGAGGGAGAAACACAGTGAATAAGGTGAAAGATTATGGCTTCTGTAAATAGTCATTTCATGCATAAGGTGTTAGGATGTGAGTGAATTAATAAATATGCTTTTCTTCTCTGTCTCCCGCAGTGCTAAACCAGGATGACAATACGGAACATCCAGCGCCAAGCGATGAGTGCAGTGGTAAAACATAAGCAAGCAAATCTGCTTTTCTCCCCTCATCAGATCCTTAACAATGCACTAGTCATTAACATGTTTTTGTTGTTTCTAAGGGAAATGTGCTCATCGCTGTGCGGGGAATGACACTTGTGCCTGTTTCACTGGATATAAACTCAAACCAGATGGAAAGAGCTGTGAGGGTAAGATGAATTTGTGCTGTTTTCCATCTTCTGATTTGAATATTATTCTTTCAGTATCCAGACTCTGCATATAACAGCTTGTGTGATGAAGAAATCAGGTAAAGCCAAAACTAAAGCAATCCCTGTGGAATAGTTTTGGCTGTATTGGATATAACAAGAGCCTCAGCAGTGTGGTGGTGATTTAGATGGAGACACACAATGAGGTTTTTTTTTTTGTTTGTGAACATGTGAAGCTCCTCTCCTTTCTCAGATATCAATGAGTGTTTGCTGGGAGCCAGCAACTGTCGGGCCGGAGAGCGTTGTATCAACACAGAGGGCTCATTCCGTTGCCAGAGAGAGGTCAGCTGTGGGACTGGCTATGAGCTCACTGACAGCAACAACTGCAAAGGTCAGATACCTTTCCCTTTTTTACGGAGAGATACTATGAACACTGATCTGTGTATTTGCAGGTATTCACAGTGTGTTCTGTGGCAATTGTGCTCTGATGTCTACAACCAGATATTGATGAGTGCGATACCGGAATCCATAACTGTGGGCCGGAGTTTGAGTGCCAAAACACCCAGGGCTCCTTCCGTTGTCTCCCCAAGGTTAAGTGTGGGGCTGGCTTCATCCAGGACGCCCTCGGGAACTGCATCGGTGAGCATCTGTAATGAAAGAATTGCAGTGTCCTACACAGAGCTTTGCTGTAATATGAAAAGCTTTCTTTCCTGTTTTTATTTTTTTTGTTGTTTTTTTTAATCTGGGCAAATACTGGTCCTGCTTATAAGACTATTTGTGGATAAGAATCATGATGTGATAAAGGGAATAGTGTAGAGAACATCAGTAGAAAATAAAAAATAAACAAGAAATATACTTAAATCCTGTAGTTATTCCATAAATTATTCCATATAGATGTGAAAAATAACAAAACTGCACATATCTATATTCTTCACCCTTTTCCAACCTCCTTCACACGGCACCAACATCAGGGCAAAAAGTTCAACATATGACAGGAAAACATCCAAATAGTTAATAATAATACAATGCTACCGCACACTCTTTAATAGATTCATCTCATTTGGAACTCTCAAAGCAAGATCATCTTGATTTGTAGTAAAAAACAACAACAAAAACCAATCACACTGGAATAACATTTCCTGATTCCCAAACCTCATGTTTCTGTAACACCTCGACCTGTCTTCTAGTACCGCCGGCAAGGAATTCTGTGCTTGTGGAAAATATATTGCTGTTAAAATAAATGGACAGTAGCCCCTTTAGAAAACTTGCATGTGCCCCAATCAGACCAAAACATTCTAATCAAGATACAACAGGAGGTTTTTGGTGTCATATTTGTGCTCTTGTGGGGATAAACGCTTGTGACACTTTGGATTTTTTCAGCGCCGCCCTTAGGACATTTTTAAATCTCTTACTAGTTTTGGTGTTTGTACTGCGTTGGTTCACTCCATTCAACACGATTTATAGTGAATACTCCACTGGATTGCTAGCAGCACTTTGGACATTAACTTTTATTATTTGTCTACCAGGATTCTGAGTCTTTGATCCTTATTATGATTGTGGTAGGCCACCCAACAGGAAAATACAAAAAAAAAAATCAGGAAACTATTTGGACTGTGGAGTCAAGCTGATGTCATGTTGTCATGTCATGTTGTGTAAGGATCACCAGAGCGATGTTTTCATAATTTAACAGTGTTACCTGTGTCTCTCTCCTCAGATATCAATGAGTGT